GATCTTATCCACCTCAAAATATTGGTATCAGCCAAAATTGGAATCGGCTCGTTGGGGTTTTTGTAAGAAAACTGCAGCCTGTGCACCCCGGGGAAAAGCTATAGCTAACTGGAACGATTTTGTGCTTTTATGAAACTAACTAAAACATTATGAAAAGAAAGAAGATCCCTTGTTTTTGTGTCAATGAATCTGGCAGCCCTTCGAACCAACGTGACATTGATTTCAGCTGTTGGAATACGACGGCACTTAAGCTCGTCCGCAAGACGGCGACAGAGAAGTTTGGGAGGAAACGCCAGAGTGAGCTGCTTGTCCCAGAATAATTCAATACATTTTCCGACAATGAAGTCTTCCTCTGAAGACGTATCAACCAATCGATGCGTTTCATCACTTTTTGAATTCTGTGTCCAAAAATTGAAAAAAATAAAACTACTAAAAAAAACCTAAACTAAAGCGGAACAATATTTAACTCACTGAATTAGGCACAAAATGAAACTCTAATGAAAAGCCTTGCACCACTGGAACCCTGACAGCCGCCGTCCTCTGTCAGCGCAACAGAAACACAGTGATAAAAACAAACAACATGCAAGTCTGGATGTTTCCACCACAAAGTCAGAATTATATGACGAAGCTCGGGCTCAGCAGGCAGGTGAAGCGAACAATGAGGCTTCCGCATTAAACTTTGACTTTCATCTCAAATATTGTGAATGATTTCAAACAAGAAAATGGCTTCTTGTGACATTCCATTCAGCGCTCCAAGACAGACTTACTGGATTCAGACGAGTGCTCATTTTTAGGAATTACACATATAAAAAAAATAATAATAAAATATGCACAACGGCGAAAGTAAAAGGATGGATGGATTTGCATTTTTTTACTCTCCAAATGAATAGAAGAAATGTGAAAGCTTGCTATTGTATTCAATATTCCCTTTTTCTTTTATCCCCCTAAATAAAATCCAGTAGTCATTTGACTGCGCAAGTCAAATGATTTATAGCCTGTAATTTATTCTTCATATAAAGAGTGGCTGTTTAAATGTGTGAGAGCAAATAAACAGGATCCAACACACAAGTGGTCCACGCAGCTGGTCAATTTTTTTCTATGCATGTTACGATATACAATCACTAAAACGCAGAACGAAGTGTCAAAGAAAGTAAAGGGAAACACCAGAGCATTATGTTTCACAGACTGTAGTACGGGAGACCCGAAATCTACTTATTTCCATAAAAATATCATGTTAGAGCAAATCGGAGCGAAATATTAAGGCACAATTGAGAAACTACAACTAAAACAAAAAATCAAAAATCAAGATCTTATCGATATTTTAGATCGATCCGCCCTCCTCCAGGTTCAGATGTTGGAGTGACCCAGTCAAAGTTCAGACCCAAATCCAAATGAGAACGTGTTGCACGACTTGACCATCCATCCATCCATCCATCCATCCATCCATCCATCCATCCATCCATCCATCCATCCATCCATCCATCCATCCATCCATCCATCCAGACTGAGCTCTTCTGCTAACAAACGTTTCTGCCAGTGGGTCGGAACACATTGTTAATATTGTTGCTGAATATAGCAATATTTCATCTGCTGTTATGATGCTTTAAAACATGTGTGACCTTTAAAAATAACACGTTGCTGTGGGACTAATGAGTATAGATATTCTGGGCTTCCAAAGTGTGAATAGTCAAGAAAAAAACTTTCCATATTAACACTGCAAGCACTAATTTTGGAAAAAGAGCATATTATCAAGATATTGTCCTTCCATTAATCTGTTATAACTACAGTATGTAAATTTTTATTTGAAAATGGTTGGGTTTTTCACATTTTCATTCAAATTATCACCGTGTTGTGACAGTATGAAGCACATAAAGTGTGAGAAAATAAAATCAAGCTCATCTGTCTCCTCCCAGCGCTAACTGGAAACAACCAATCAGAACCAGGAGGTGGGTCTTAGTGCTGTCAATCATGCTTGTGTTCACACAGTTCACAATGCCAAAGCTGGCCCACCACAACATATCCAGCTGATATGGCTAGCATTAGCTGGTATGGCTAGCATTAGCGAGCCGTAATGGTGGCCATACCAGCTAATGCTAGCTCAGGGAAAACGTGGGGGAGCTCAATTTGTTTATTTATTTTTTACCAGTACATCTGTCTCTTCACTGACTGTCACAAACATTGTGAAAATAAAGTTGTTTTAAAATAAAAAAAAAAGACCTGCAGCCGGGATTGTTTCCAGCGAAAAGCTGTTGACTCATTTGCGGCGGAATATACAAAATCCAGCCAACGCTCCTTAAAAACGTTTTGTGCAAATCTCCCGGTTTTAAAAGTCGAAGCACTTGCTGCGGTTCTGCTTTGCCTCCAGCGAGCCGATTCAGGAAGCCATTCTCTCTCTGTTTATGTGTGTGTGAACGCAGGACGTGTGAAGCTGATGGCTCTTTTATTGCGGCGGCTCTCTCAGGCGGGCCAGCGGCGCGCCGTAAAGACCCCGGTCGACTTTGCGCCGCCATCTGCTGAGCTGTGATGAGCCCTCTGCTGCAGGCAGCGATGAGGCCATTAGAAAGCAGCGGCTCGCAGCAGCTCCGCCGGACAACGCCGCGCGTCCTCGTCCCGGAGAAACACGGAAGAAGGAACCAGAACCCGACCTGGCGTGTGCCAAGACTCCAAAACAACCGAGAGAGAAAAAAAAGAGAGAGAGAGAGAGAGAAAAGAGAAGTGAATCCCGCAGAGAAGCAGAGATGCGTCTGGCGCATTTTGAGCGCCTGCGGTCGTTGCAGCGCACTGCGGCCTCCAGGGCCTCCGGGGCCTCCGGGGCCACGGAGCCTGGAGAGAAGCGCTTCCCTCCATGTGGGTCTTTGTTCTGTCGTCCTCTGCTGCGCACAAAATGACTCGGCGGAGCAGAAGGCGACTCGAGGTTGTCAGAGAGTGGCACGTCTCTTTTCTTTTTTCCTCCGGCGACGCTCTGATCGATGCTGGTTTTGAGAGGTCAAAGGTCAGCACACTTGTGGACTATCTGCAGTGAGCTGAAGAGCCTGCCGCTGTACAGATTTAACAGGCAGCTGCATGGCGATGCAACAAAGTCTGGAATTTGATTTTGGTCTTTTCTATGCATGGAGGAAACACTTCCTTCCTTATTCTCCATATTTGTTCTCTTGTCTTTTTTGAGTTTTTCTTTTTTCTTCATTTCTTTTTTTTTCTTTGCTCTTCCTTCTTCTGTACTTTGCCTTTCTTGTTTACATACTCAAATAAATATGCATTCCTTTCTTTATCCCTTATTTTTACATCTGATTCTAATCTATCCTTCTTTTATTTCCTTATATCCCTGACATGTTTCCTTTTGTTTCCTTCTCTTGCCTTCCTTTTTTCCTTTCTTTGCACTTCCTTTTCCTGTACTTCCTTGTTCCCATTTATCTTTCATGTTTCCTTCCGTATTTCCTTTTCTTTCATCTGCAGCCCTTAAGTTCAGTTTTTCCTTCCTGTTCATTTTCCTCCCTTCCTTCTTTCCTTCATTCAATCCTTTCTGTGCTCCTTTGTCTCTCTTTCTTTCTGTTTCCTTTTTGTCTCATCTTTCCTTCCTTTTTTTCTCAAATTTGTTTCCTTTGTCATGCTTTCTTCTTCTGTACTTTTCCTTCCTTGGTTAAATTTTTCTTTCATCCTTCCTTCCATATTTCTTTCTTTCTTTTCCTTCTAGTTTCCTTTTTCCTTCATCTCTCTCTTTCCATATTTCATTTTGTTTTCCCTTCCTTTTTCTCTTCAATTGTTTTCCTCTGCTTTTCCTTCTCTACTTTCCCTTTCTCATTTCCATTTATCCTCAACCCTTCCATATTTCCTTCATTTCTTCTTGTCGTTCCTTTTCTTGTTCTTCCCTTCCTAGTTTTTTCTCTTTTCCTTCATGTTTTAGGTTTCTTTCTTCCTTCTTACCTTCCTTGCCTCATTCCAGTGGTTTTAGAGTGTTTGGTCCATTTGAAGTGTTAAAGCCCTCAATCAATTTACTGCAATTATTTCTGTAGATGCCAGACTTTACACAACCAGACACGAACAGAGAACTCTGGGAATTTGGGTCTGGACAACTGCAGGAGCCCAGCGGGTCTCAGAGACCGTGGGGCCCCGGGCCCCCCACCGACAGCAGGCAGAGTGTGAGCGTGGCCCTTCCACGCGGCGTGATAAAGACAAAACCAATCTAATTTGAGGTATTTAATAGCAGCCTAACAGTGATGCATAAGCAACACATGGAGGTGCCGTAAATCAGCCCGGCCCGACTCCACTCTGTCATTAAGCTTTCACGGCCGCGCGTGGAAGAGAGGCGTCCCATAAATCACAACAACACCTGTGGTGCAGCCGGCTCACCAATCAGCCACAGATCTGAACGCGGGATTATCACTATTAATTACCGAAGGGCTGAACCGTAATAAACAGCTAATTAACAAACTTGTGAGAGGATGCGCTTCCTTTTCATCCGTCATCCTCCTCTCCTCTCCTCTCCTCTCCTCTCCTCTCCTCTCCTCTCCTCTCCTCTCCTCTCCTCTCCTCTCCTCTCCTCTTTTTCCTTCCTTCTTTCCTTCCTTCCTTTCTTCTTCCTTCCTTCCTTCCTTCCTTCCTTTCTTCCTTCCTTCCTTCCTTCCTTCCTTCCTTCCTTCCTTCCTTCCTTCCTTCCTTCCTTCCTTCCACCTGATGTCACAAATGAAGGCGCCGCGCGCGGAGCGGAGCCCCGGCATCGCGCTCGCCGCGGTGCGCGCGTGCCTCCCCGGTCGGGGCTTCGCCGGTAGCCGCGCCAGCTCGGACGGTGACACAACAAAGGCTGTCTGTACGCTGCTCTCTCTCTCTCTCTGACTCTCTCTCTCTCACTTTCATTCCTCTGCCGTCACCAAAGATCACGGAATAACACAAACTCGGCTCTGACCTCCAGCGTCCACTCACCCCGCACGCAGCGGGCAGGGATCACGCACGGACGCACAGCGGGGAATCAAAACAAAGCGGCGTGCGGGACGTGCGGGACTCACCACGGCTGCTCCAGCTCCCAGTCCCTGAAAAAGTCGAATTCAAAGAGATCCATCGCCGCTCCGGCCGCTGCTGTCGATGGTTAGAATCCAAAGCAAGCCGGTGCTACGTGGTTCTACATGAGCTGCTGCTGGTGCTGAGTGTGTGTGTGAGTGTGTGTGTGAGAGAGAGAGAGGGAGAGAGAAGAGACAAGCGGCTGCCGCTGCCAGGAAGCTGCTACGTGGTCGAAGAGAGCTGACAGCCAGGCAGAGGTGGAGGGAGGGAGAACACACACACACACACACACACACACACACACACACACACACACATATGCTCCACACACAGGCATACTGAGATAGTCACTGGGAAAAAATGAGCTTCTTTTATAACAAGGTTTATATAACACTCACTTTGCAAAGATACAACTTCCTGAACTCCTCAGAAAAAAAAAGAAGTGTAAACATCTGAAGCAGATGGAGGAGCCGCTGTCATCACGTTCATCCTGACAAAATGACGTGGGAAAGATTTCTCATTGCCATCACTGCACCATCTCAACAACTACGATACCCCGAAATAAAATCTGGCCCCGTCAGTCTGTCCTTAAAAGTGTCCTCGTTAGGAAGCGGATTCCGCCTGCGTCCTCTAGTCTCAGTGTGTGAAGGAGAACCGGGTTCTAGAGCACCGATTTATCAGCCGACCAATTTATCAGCCGACCGATTTATCAGCCGACCGATTTGTCATCGCCGATTTTCTCTATTTCGAGAGATCGGCGTTCGCCAACTTTCTCTTCTGCACGATTTTTTTTTTTTTTGCACTTAACGACCTTCACCCCACTGCTGCAGCAGAACGGCGTTCTTTCCCCCGGACGCAATTTATCTGTTTTTTTTCCCAAAACATCAACACCTGTTCAATTGCGATGATGAAGACGTGAGGCAATAATTGCTGTTGCCTTTTATTAAACTGAGAAAGCTGAACAGAAACTCCCAGTGCAGCCAGGAGGGTCCAGGCAGGATGGTCCAGCCTCAGCTCTCTGTGGATCATGTCTGATGAAGTTCTGGACTTGCCAAACCAGAAATGGGCTTAATTTACCTCACAGACAGTAACAACGGAGGGGCGTGGCTTCTTCAATATGGCGTCTGTCACACAGTTGGAATGTGTTAGGGAACATTTTATGTAATGGATGGTTTTACATTGAATAAGTCAATGTCTAGAACTTAAGTGATTGTGTTTCTGGAGACCACATTTGGCCTGAAGTTGAGAGAAAGAGGCAAAATGATCGCCCACCATGAGGCCATCAATAGTCCTGATGCCTAAATTGTGTATGACCGGATTAGCTTCATAAAGTGAATTAAAATCTCTAGTGATCTCTAACTAGCATCAGCTCACGATTAGACCAACTCTGAAAACTCGCCAAACCGAGAGACCGAATACAGGACACTCGGGACGGTGAACTGGAGGTCTGCTGTGAAGAGTAGGATATCATCCGCATATGAGAAAGTTTTATTTATTCATTCGCTTACAATTTTCTTCACTAATTCATTTGTCTACATATTAGTTTATTACATCCGGGTCAAAGCTATTCAAATAAACGTTTAAATGCAAAATCTGACCGCATGCAGTGCAACGCCACACGCTGGACGATCCGAACGTGGTTTTGTCGCTGCGTGGGTCACACACCGGTACTTTTATGGCTGATGCTTTTCTTTTTTTTTTTTCATCCACTGTGAACTATTGAGCTGTCCGCAAACATCTCCACACTAAGCTAACTTCGCAGCACTGCCCGGCGGTCTTCGCTCGCCCGTTTGAGGCTCGCTCCGCTGGCTTTGCTTTCAGGTTCAGCCGAACACCTGGACAGAAACTGAACATTTTCTCCCAGCAGCCCGATCGATTGCTGTAGCGTTCATGACATATTGAAATGAAATCTAACGCTTTTACACATTTTCTCCATGTTTCTAGAATCACCTGTTGATCATCACTGCTGGTCTGAATTCTATATGAAGAGTCATTAAGAAGAAGGAACATGTGAATTTGCCCTTTTACTTCTCTTAAGTATGACTGCAAACATATGATACGCACTAACTGTTTTATTACTGTTAATGTAAATTACATTAATGGACACCCCTATGCATCAGCAGACACCAATTGACGCATGGTAGGTTTAATGCGTCCCCTACCCAATAGCCCTGAAATGCTCCCAAAGTAATTGACTGCAACATCGTCATTTTCAAGACTGGATATTGCTTGTATGCATTAAAAAAAATCCTAAAACATTAAAACATCCAATGTGGGATGCTGTGGCGGCGCAGGGGCGAAGCACTGCTCAAGTATTGAGGCTTTAGTGCTCGTGACGATGGTCGCAAGTTCGATTCCCGGCCTGGTGATATTTCCTGCATGTCTTCCCCTTTTCTCATTTCCTGTTGAACTACTTTCAAATAGAGCCAACAAAACCTTTAAAAAAAAAACAACAACAACAAAAAAAATATCTAATCCAATTTGGGTCCAGAAAAGGATCATCTTTGGGAACCCCCTACATCTCCCAAAAAATGAAGCCCTGGGCTGCTGCCCTAATAAGCTCTTTTTGCAGTAGTTTCAATATGGAAAACATTCGACATCCTGCGGAAGGAAAGTGTTACCGCCTGCACCGCTTGTGTTTTTTCTTGGAGAATAGATCAAATAACGGATGCTCTTTATTTTTTAGGGCTGTCAGAGTGGCAGGAGTGTCTCTAGGGAATCAATACTTTTGGAAGACACTGAATTTATTCTTTTCTTTCACTCAAATTTGAAAAGGCGTCTCTTCGGCCCAGTTGCTGGGCAGCTCCGTTTGACTCTGCAGTGAGTGAAATTCCTCGTCACCTTCTTCACCGTCGTCTTTCCGAGCACTCTGCTTCCCGTTCGGCTCAGCTGTGGCGTTAACGTGATCAAACGTGTTCTCCATCGCGCCGCGTGCCCAGCGGCAGCAGCTCCTTCTTTTTTCCAAAACTGTTTGCGCCAGGCGACGAATGAGGACGGAGCAGATGGTTGAAAGTTTCCACGCAGCGTGTTGCGAGGTGTTGTCAACTGTTGCTGCCTGTCTCTCTCTCTCCCAGGCAGGTTTGGACCCCCTTTGATGATGGAGAGTCCAAACTGCACCGGAGAAAGGAAACATCCTGAGATGTGCTGTGCGTCTGTCTTTGTTTATTTTTCCCAGCGTGTCGCTGCTTTGTTTTTTGTTTTTTTTTTGTTTTGGTCTGGGGCAACATGCCAGTACGAGTCTGCATCACAACCAGCAAACAACAGCCTTGGTTGGATGGGAGGAAGATAGAGAGAGAGAGAGAGAGAGAGAGAGAGAGAGAGAGAGGATGGGAATTAAAACACTGGCTCCCATTCCTGTTATTGGCTGATTATCTCAAAGTGCTGTTTCATAACGTCGACCGATTCCGGCCTCACAAATCACCGCAACATAAAAACGCCGCATCAAAATACCACCAATCTCAGAGGGTTTTAAGAGCACCTGCAGGAACATGGATACTGTGTGTGTGTGTGTGTGTGTGTGTGTGTGTGTGTGTGTGTGTGTGTGTGTGTGTGTGTGTGTGTGTGTGTGTGTGTGTGTGTGTGTGTGTGCGTGCATGCGTGTGTGTAAGGGAGTCCAAAACTAGGTCAGACACTGAGAGACAGAATGACTAGAGAAAGAGAGAGAAGATGTGGAAAAAATACACGATTTATGAATAAAACAGTTGTTGGATAAGTTATTAGAGGAGTGGGTGATAGGAAGAGATGGATTTGAGGAGAATTTGTAATCAGGGGCAGAAACAGAAAGATAAATACAGCATTTGTTTCCTCGCTCACAGCCTTCATCAGCAGGGAGGTTGTTTGTTCAGGAGTATAATTGCTCCCGTCTTTCTGCGGTTGAAGTTGTACACAGTGCCAACAATTTCAACAATGATTCTGAGAGGTTATTGGAGTTATTTCTCTCTCTCTCTCTCTGTCTCACACACACACACACACACACACACACACACACACACACACACACACACACACACACACCACACACACACACACACCACACACACACACACACATGAAAAAGAACATGAAATGATAAAATAGTCAGGAAGTACCAAGTTCTCAGCTTTGAGCTCATTATTCTTGCTGTGTATCTTGCAGAAGTAGAGAAGTGCATGTCATGAATTTTCAAAATGTACCGAGGCTTTCCTCTTTCTTCTGGCTCCTCTTCCTTGTGATGCCTTGTGGGAGGAGCGAGCACGGTGCCACAGTTCCCCCGTGTGGCGGAAAGTTAGTATTACACGTTGGTAAAAATCTGAAATCTTTTTGCACCTGAAGCTACTTTTGAGCAAACCGTTTGATTAGGTTATTTTTTTTATGAATATGTGAGATTCGATTATGGATTTTATTCTAAAAAAAAAAATAAAAGTATTTTTGATACATTTTGATGACAAGTTATCAAAATGAGTTTTGTTTTCTTTTGCTGCTGCTCACTCATATTTCTCAGTATTATTATCATCAATATTATCAATTCTTATTATTATTCAGAGACACAGAAAATAAATCACAAGTAGTCCTGGAAATGATGAATCCATTAAAAAATCGATTTCCAAATACGTTTAAGTTGTACGTCTTTGCCGTTCCTATTTGCGAACCTACTGCAAAATTGAGTGTCTCTCCCACCATATACATTATGAATATATAGCATTTTTAAAAGAGAAAACTGTACAGAACCGTTTAAAATAATTATTTGTTTGTATTGTTTTCCTCTTGTCCCTGAAATAATTTAAACAGAATCTCTAGAGTCTTTTGAAAACAACAATTTGTTTCTGAACCGAATCCTGACCCTAAATATCACAATCGCTTTGAAAGATTTACATCTTTTATTATGGATCTTTGACCAAATAATTTTCCAACAATTTTCCAGATGAATGACTATTTCAGCATTTATTGTGTTAAGAATTTAGAAAATATTTTCAAATTTGTTCTGACACCTGGGTCCAGACCCCACTTGTTATATCGGAAGTTAAAGCTGAATATATTACAAATGTAACTTTATGCCGTGTAGATGTTGTCGTATCTCTTGAACATTTTCCCATTGTGTCCCGCTGTAAATGGCTCCGGAACCGGAAGTACCTGTGGTTGTTTGGACCTTCCACAATTGCCACGAATAACTTTTTTTTTTCAGCACGAGCGCCACGCGACGCCCATGATTTTGACAGAAAATGACAACTGTACAAACCTTTCAAAGCTGAAGGGAGTAGCTTTGTGTCGTTGTCGTCACACGAAAAGGTACAAAAAAAAATGCGCCCAAGATACTGGAGGAAGATCAAACTTTATTTATTGAAACTGCTTGCATACAAAATATATTGCACTATAACCAGACATGTCCACCCAAACATCTTTAAATGCAGGTAGTATGTACAAAAAGAGAAAACAAAGATTAAAATGCCCAAAAAGTGCACACAAGGTTTTACAGCTTTTTGAATTACCCTGGTTTAAGTATCTACAGATGCTCTGCAAGTCGTCACTTTCTGGCAATCTATAGTTGAATAGCCCATAGTGTGAACACCTAGTATTCTTCGACGTTACCTTCTATGAATAACTGCTGTGTGACATCTGAGCCAACTATAAAAAAAAACAAACACAATTTGGATAGACCTTGTTTTAGCCCAACACCAATGGCGGTTCACAAGTATCTTCAAATGTCTTGACATTCATACCAAATTCGATGTTTCAAGTGAAGTCAGAACAAAGCAGGACCTTTCAGCATTTGGTAAGACTCCACTGTGTGCCGATTAAACAAACAAAACCTTCCCAAACTAAGTCAGTTCTGGTCTACGGTCAGAAGTGACTCGATGTAACAATCGCATGCACTCCTACACCCTACAGCCACAGACATAGACTCTCCGCTAATCTGTAAAGTTTTTCTACTTTTTTGCCCAATTCTCTGTGGAAACGGTCTAAATGTTGAAGGCAGGCTACTAGACCCAACGTTCACTTCCGTTAGTTTACAACGACATTCCTATGTGAGACACAAGTGGGTTTACAAGTTTGCAAGTTTCACTGCTCCTTAAAAATAAAAAATAAAAATCCGTCATCATGGTTTAAACAGTTGTATTGGAATCCATATTCGTAGGTTGCCATGTAGAAAACGCTGCATGGCTACGTCTTAAATGGCGTCACTTAAGAGCCCGCTTCCATTTTGGGATCCCAAACGGTTCCAGGGCTATGTGATTGGCCGCAACCCGTTCTGTTCATGCATCTCAGCGTAAGTCGAAGTTCGTGATAGTTCACCCACTGAGATGAGCTTCATGCCATGAAATGAGCTCTACTGATCTCAGGCAAGTTGCTTAAATGCCAGGTTACCAGCCAACTACGTCACCACCAGTTGGTTAAAATGCTTCCAAAGCAACATCTCCTCAGTGACCTCAACCGGGTCAGCATGCAACAGTCTTCTTTCACTTTAGTGTTTTATAGTTATTTACATACATTGGTCTTGTTCAGCAGTACAGTTGGTTAGTGATCTCCCTAGTAATCCAACCCAAACACTGAAATATGCTTCAGCTTTTCTTCCCCACAGGACTAATTCACTCTCCTGCAGGTAAAAAACAACAACAACAAAAAAAAAACCCAACCAAACAAAACACATCCCACCTGAACCCTCCGTAAAACAACGCACAACCAGAGGTGAAGGGAGTTCCCTCCAATCTGCTGCGACAACAGCACTAAAATGAAGAAGGTCTCTGAAACATCTATAACACTTTCTAAAAAATTTTTTTAAAAAAGTATAACCCAACTAAATCAGTGTGTACCATCTATCCTGTGGGAGATGAGTCCGCCTGGCAGCACTAAAAGGGTAAGTAACAGTTTTGGTTGTCGAAAAAATACCTAAGGTATTTGTAAATGACAAAAATAGGCTGGTTATTATTTCTTTATCTGTACACGTAGAGAGCAAGAAAGTCTCGGGGTTCACTTTTAAAGGGAGAGTCCATCATACGACATTATTAGGACACACTTTTGTTTTCTTCAAGGCTTGAAACCCTTTATATTAGCGCTCGGGAGATGCTAGTGATGACTGCAGACATGGCTAACAATCACACACAGTGTCTCTTCACTTAAAACTGACTTCTACCTTCACTCTCCATGTTCAGTTATAGCTCAGAATAAACGACAAAGTTCAAAAATGTGGCGTTTATCAGCATGTTTTTACACTTTGAAGCAGGTCAAAATCAGTTTTTAATGAGTTTAAGCTCTTTGTTGTGGCTGCTCTGAAATGAGCAACACCTTAGCTAGAACATGCTAGCATGTGGCTTCTTTTTTCTTTTTTCCCCCCTTTCTTAAACGCAACATGACGAGTCGTGACCTCACTGTTCTTTCTTTCTAAATCTATTATGAGAAAAAGGTCCTGCAGACCATAAAACATCGAAGGGAGTCGTGATGCAGGTCAATTAGCCCCATCGCCAAGTCATATCATTTCATACCCCAGTGACGCCATTTTGTCACGTCTTACATTCCGTACCCGACTATTAAAATCATTGCATTGTCTGAATTGTTTCATTTACATTTTTTATAGTGATAAACATTTTTTATAGTGATAAAAATGAACAAAAATACCTCACATTTAGCTGGTAGGTATTTCTTGGGGGTGATTCCTCTACATTTCCTACAGACTTTGAGAAGATAATGGAAAGTTTCTTAAAATTCATTTTGTCAAGGTGAGTACAAGCTGAAGGTTCAGCCGGTATAAAACGCCATTTGGCGCCCAAATCCCCAAATAAACTCATGTAGAAGGCAACCAAAACTCTAAAGGTATGAAATGATGAGGGGACTATCCAATCAGAACCCACAAAACTCGCCAACTTATGTATGAAAGACCCAGGAATGTTTATTTTACTCATCACTACAGGAGTCGCAGATTTGGGGGCAACAGAGAATCTAAAGCGTTCATAAAATTTTGACATGTACTTTAATACTGTCGTCGTCATACAGTTCCCATCAATCATTAGGTCAAATTCCCTGAGTGGGTTCAGTATTTTATTCAGTTTTGGATCGATTTTCATAATAGTCAGATGAAAACCAACTCCCTCCGCAAAGCTGTTCATAGCAACCGTATTTCAACCACATCCTACTTTACTGCACAGCATCGACTTTATTCTGAAGAGCTCTAGCATTTAGCCCGATATTAAACAAAAACAAAACAAAATAGCATAAGAGAGCATTTTAAACAATTGTACAAATCTTTTCCTAAACAAATAATGACATCATTATTTACAATATGCCACCCTCCCTTCTTGTTTTTTTTTTTTTTTTTGTCTTCTTTTTGTTAAACAAACCGCAGATGCTCTAATGACAATACATAGATTACTTTCACTGGAACCAATGGTTGATGAACTGGTTGGAATCCTTACCAGAGAAACTAAATGCAACATGGCTGCAGTGTAAACAAGTGAAAGCAAAGTCTTAACATATTAGTGATGGAGAAATTAACATACATCATAATTAAAAAGGGGGTGAAAAAAAAAGACTTCTAAAAGAACGTGTTTCATCATTTATTACTCATGTAACCACTTTCTAAAATGTAATATAAAGTTTTACGTGTCACTGACTCTAAGGTGTACGTCTTCAGCTTGTGACTGGCTACTCAGGCCAAACATCTATTTAAAAAAAGATCATGTCAAACTCTACCGAGTGTCTTTGAAGTCCAGAAGAAAGATGTTCATGCAATGAAAGTTAGAAAAAAAAAAAAAAAAAAAAAGGAGGAACCTGGCCTCAACACAGCCACCTCTTCAGTTCATTTATCAAGTGTCAAAGCGGCATGAGGAGCGGGTTCACTTACCGCTTCACACACAGAAATGAAACTTGAAAAAGGGTGCATGTGTGAGGGCCGAGTGGCCACTAGAGGCCTGCACAGAATTTCACAGATGAGCCGTCAGGCTTCAGTCTGACGCTATAGATGCAACACCTAGAGGTCCGGCGCTGACAGCATCCACCGTCCGTAAGCGCTGAAACCACCAGACTCATGAACCTTCACTTCTTTGCAGTCAGACTTCAGACAAAGCTTTGAGAGCTCAAGATAACCGAGTCTTTTTTATCATCTTGACACACTGAATCATCCTCCATCCCTGATTTATACATCTAGGTTGTGATGCTAGCCGTAATGGAAGGCACGTGTCACGAAATTAAAATGAAGGTCTCCCCTATGCACTGAGCTGTCAGAGCTCTGAGATAAAAGTTATTCAGACTTTCATTTAGAAAGGTTTGCTTCTTTTCAAGAATCGTGTCAAAGGTTTAGTAGGATTTGTGAAGCAGGCCACAAGAAACTTCAGATGTGCAGCACTGCTAAAATGAAGGTTTTGTCACGTCCGCCAATACCGTCTTCGCTTCACTATTAGCTTTACCTAAATTTGACTATTTTTAAAACCATCCCAACATGGAAGTATGTGAATCTTGACGAATTCCAACATATTCTTCAATAGCTGCGTCTCCATTGACTCTAAAATGCCACTTTTCAAAAATAAATTCACTTACAATTTTGAAAAAACTTGTTTTTCGGTAAAAAGATTTTAAAATTTTATTTTATCAAAACAGTTCTGTCGCAAAACTGCAATGGAAATGCTTCTTTTTTTTTGCATCACACGAGTCATGTGACCAACAACCAGATGTTACCACTGGCAGAAACCAAGAAGAAGAAAACGACAGGAAGTATTTAAGGACGACAGCATGGTATGTTTAATGACTTATTGGACGAACAAGCTTATTCACAATTTCAAATCTGATTTCTTTTTTCTTTCCACAAAGTTCTGCGCACATTTTTAATGGAAACGCAGCTAGTGAGAATAATGAAAAAGACGACTTGAGTGTTAAATAAGAAAGTCTACGGATTAATTGATAAAACTGAGCTTAGTTATTTTGTCTCCTAAATCAGAATATCTCTCTAGATTAGCCCGTGTCCATTATTGCAGTCGGTTTGAATTGAGGACTTTGACAGAAAAAACCAACAGTAAATCAACTTTTAAGGCTTTCTCCTCCAGCTAAACCAAACTGCTGTCTTCCATGCAAGAAGATCCACAGAAATTGATGAATACAACGTTAAAATGCGTCATGATTACAGTTCACACCCATCATACTGTTTTGACCTTCATTATGTAAATAGTACAAAAAAAAAAAAAAAACTCGGACTTTCACTTTCAAAAAAGCCATTTCTCCCATGAAGTCACAGAATCTCCATTATTCGTCGTTACGCTGATGACTGTTTCCTTTGAAATTTGCTAAATTTACAGACAGGGAGGAACATAAACCCAAGGCACAAACATAAAGGAGCCTCATGGCGACTGAAAAACGAGAAGCTCTCAGTTTATGAAAAAAAATAATCACAGGCACATGATGACCGCTTCACTGACTCTCGTAGCTGTAGGAAAATGTCTCGTTTTTGTCGTCGTTCACAAGATGCAGCCAAAATGTGATTTCGAAGAAAAAAGGTAAACAGGAAAGGGATAGATCACAAATATGTTGGACAAGCAAAACCCCAACCAAGAACAACTTATATTTCATCTATAGTTAACACGAATATGTTTTATAAATGAAGATTCGACAAATTAATAAATTAAACAAGATAATTGTCCTGTTTGAGCCATTTCATCTGCCCTCCACTTAGACGGACTCTTTTAATGTCAGTAGAGACAGAAGCCAAAGTAAAATGCATGTTAGGGGTTTTCACCTGACAGCTCTTTAGTACCACCCTGTGAATCAGTGCAGTATCATCTAAAACCAGTGCAGGCCATGAATCCATATACGAGCATCAATCTTCTATTTTACAGGCTGGAGCCATGAGTCAGTGTTTTTTTTTTTTGTTTGTTTTTTACCTTTACCTTTCATCGTATCAGCAATCTGCTCACAAGAGAGGTGGAGCGTTTATTATTATTTTTTTTTTTTACAAAATGACAGTTGACATCGACGTAGTACAAACCTAGACTTTTGGAAGTTGCTGCTGAGTTTTAATTTGCTTTTTTCTTTAAAAAAAACAAACAAAAAACCCCAAAATAGAACAGATATTTCACACCAGCGGGCCTCAGATTTAAGTCTGTATGCTTCAGAAGAAACGGGGTCCAACAGCTTACAATGTTTAGGCATCAAAGCAAACGAAGGCCTTTTTGAATAACAGCGTGATGTAGAGCGTCGCTTTCAGGAGTGCCTACCTGTTGTTTTTCAGTGCGGGGAAAAAAAAGGTAGAAAATAAAAGTAAAGTGCCATCTGCAAACATTTTTCCCACAACTAAATGTCTTCCCACATGGACAAATAAAAATAAGAAATCTCAGATTTGCTACTTTTTCTTTTTTCTTTTTTTTTGAACAGGGATGTTGCAGAAAGCTGGTTTTGGGTGACTTTGAAAATATTGGATTTTGGGAGTTTTAGAGAAGCAAAACGTGTTTCTGTACCAGTGGGGGTAAATGTTTGGACACAGCAAAGTCTGCGATCATCTCTAAGAGTTAAAAACGCTTAAACTTTTGCCAAATGGATGAAATTGTTTCCACAGATTTCTGCCGCCGTCGTTCCCGTTTTCTCGTGCGAGTGAGCCCGAAAGGGACTGAGGGAGAAAAAAAAAAGTTCCCCAAAAAATACACAGTTGTGGTGTTGACGGAGTGAAATGGGAGCAGTTTTTTTCCCCCCTCAGCTAACCCTTCTATCACAGAGGAGCTTTCATCAAAAACCTTCTTCTTCCCGAGACAGTCCAGAGAAGAACAGGAGACGACAACAGGCGGGAACGGATCAAGACTTCGCTAAACGCTTCCATGCCGATGGAAATGCGTGTCCTCTTGTGTGCGACAAAGACGAGAAAAAGACCAAAAAATAAAAAATAAAATACGCCAGAGACTATAAGATGGTGTATGAGAAGTTGCCTGTGTGTGTGTGTGTGTGTGTGTGTGTGTGTGTGTGTGTGTGTGTGTGTGTGTGTGTGTGTGTGTGTGTGTGAGAGAGAGAGAGAGAAGGTCCTCCGTGGTTGCGTCTACGACACTCCGTTCACCAGCGCCGGAGCGTCCTGTTTGTCCTTCTTTATCCCCCGGTCTCTCAGGGGTCTCTGATGGTGATGGCGGGACTGGCCGTCCCCGCCGACAGCGATGCCACTCTGGGATGAAGAAGGTCCTCCTCCTCCTCCTCCTCCTCCCCCCCCTCGGCCGCCTGATGAGTGCTGCACGCTGCGCTCGTTGTTTCCGTCCACACGGATCTGTGGGGAAAAACACAACATCACGTCGACTCCCACACTCCCGATCTCACATCAACACCTGAACCAGCACCAGGATGTGTCTGATCCATGAGGGTCGATCTGTCCAGTCCAACTCTATGCTCTGATATTATGCTTTATTTATTTCAGATGGTATCTAGAATTTTGAGTTTCTCTTTCTGAACCATTTGAAAGAAGGTTTTCTGCCGTTTATTTTTACGTGTTTGACCAAAAATCGTCAACCGACTGTTATTAGTTTCTGTTTTATTTTCCATTGACTCTTTGGCTCCTAATTGGACTGACTGAACAAATTAAATTTGTTTTGTTTTTACATGTTTGACCATTCTTGTGACGTTATTGGTGTATTTAAGTGTGCTGTACTGGTGCACAGTTAACAAATGAATGTGTAATTCGGTACATTTAAGTCTGTGTTAAAAAAAAAGAAAAAGAAAGAACTGTTTTAAGTCAATTCAGTTGTTTTTTTGCATCAGATTGGTATCGGCTGATACTAAACCTCAGATATCGGAAGTGAAAAAAGTGGATAGGTGCTTCCCTCAGTTCAACCAGTGACAGGCCAATAAATACAAAACAGCATAAAAAAGACACCTTTGGTTTGAGTTGCTGGAACCAAGAGATAAAAATCATTTCTGTTTCTCATTTTAGCAAAAGTTCACCTGCAGTGTGTCTTCCTGGCCTCGAGGCTTTGGGTCCCTGACATGACGAGGTCTTGGCTCGCCCCACTGCATGTCATCACCTAGGCAACACAAAAACAAATACCTTATAGTCAAAAGAAATCATAAAAATAGTGAATGTGTTTAATAAATCTAAAGTGAAAAGTGGTTTTATTCTGAAGACAATCTAGATTATGATTATCAGCTAAAAACAAAAAAAGAGGGGGCGTGACGTTCTTCAGGTTTTTCATTGAGCCTTTTTTAATACATTAAAAATACAGTAAACAATGCAAATAAACCATTAAAATCCTTATTCAGACAGGGAAAACATCCCATCCCATTAAAATGCAGCAAGATAGCATTCAGAATTTAAAAAAATGCCACTTGAGTTTTGAGTAGAGCAAAACAAAGGTGTTTATATTTGAAAATGTTTTTTTTAACAAATGGCCTTTTTAAAATCTGCATACTAAAGTTGAAGATTAATCAACAGCTAAATCGATTACTGAAATAATCGACTAATCACAATTAATCCGATTAATCGTGTGAGCCCTAAACACAAAGTTATGTATTATTTCAGGTTGCTAACCTCATTCTAGCAGAGGAATAATAATAATCACCTTTATACCCTCCCCCTCCTCTCCCTCTGCCCCCACGGCCTCTCAGCACCCCCCCTCCGGCTCGTTTCCTGCTGTCTGTCCGCCGGGGCAGGGACCCGCCTCCCGTCATCAACTCCTCTGTGGGAGCCAGGGACCAGTCGCTCAGCTCCTCTCGGTGGTCTGACTCCGTTTCCGAAGCGTTGGACGCCTCCGAGTTGGTGCCTGTGGAGTCGAATGTCAAAAGAGTTTGCGGTAAAAATGAGGAAGCTCGAAGAAAACGGCGCACAGAGAAACAGGAAGAGTTAGGGTGAGCACACCTGAGGTGAACGCCGCCCCGCCTCCTCTCCGGCCCCGTCCGCCTCTTCCTCCCACGTAGGGCTTCCCACCTCCCGCTCCTCTGCCCATCCCCATCCCGTTATCAAACACATAGGATTTGTCTTTGGGGTTTCGGGGGCCTGTCCCTCCCCCTCCGCCCCCGCCCCCTATCTGTCGCAGCTGCTCGTCAATCTGAAGGCGCTCCAAGCGCAGCTGGTCCACCTCCTGCAGACAACGAAACAGGAAATGACTTTCCCAGTAAGACAGCACAGTCCTGACCAGGTGCACTGGTGTAGCTCAAGTAAAAAAAATAAATAAATAAAGACCAGTGGCGCATCAATTGCAGTTTTTTGGTTGGTCTCCAATCTTTCACACAATGTCTTTTTAAATTTGGTTTCATTTAATCTTTTAAAAGAAATTGAAGACTTTTTAAGACCAGCACGAATGAAATCTGAGGCCTATATTTAAACAGAAAATCAAAGAAAAATGTTATATTTTTTATGAAAAACTGCATCTCTGTCAGCGATAAATTTGCACTTTATCACAATACAAAGAAAAAAGCTAGCTAGTTAGACAGCAACAGTTTATTAGCAGCTAATAAACTTAAAGTAGCCTCAACTGCATTTAGTCACAAATCGTCCCCACAGTGAATATACCAGCTGAAATATTTCAGCCACGACAAAGTTTAACACCTGTGATAAACGCATTTACGGTGATTTATTTATTTTTTTAAATTAATTTGAGATATTTTAAAGGCCTTAATTTTACATACAAGAATTTGACACTTTAAGGCTTTTTAGTGATGCGTGCTCAGTCTGTGTAAAATGCCTGACCTGCCAATTCGCATTCTGGCTGATACCAATTTTTCTATCTGAAAGTTTTTAAATATTGATTCTGTCCAGGAGTGGCTGATTTTCAGATCTTTACAGAGACAACATAAGATCGGAGGATGGCATTGGTTGTACGTGTAACTATCGTCAATCTCCCAAAGTTAAGAATATCGTTGGAGATTAATCAATGCACAACTACAAACTATTAATCTGTCATCCGGGATGCAACACCCACCTTAAGGTAATTAAGGTGGTAGTCCAGGAGCACTGTGGCATTGGAAATGCTTTCCTTGGTCCCCACAAACACAAATGGCACCATTCCCTGAAGAAGAACATCAAACACGGTTTGAAGAGATGTGATGAAAATCCAGAAACTGAGGCGTTTTCATCTCGACATTACTGACCTCATCTGCTGCTGCCGCGGCCGCCGCCGAAGGCTTCTTGTCGTTCTCCGGCTCGATTCGAACCCTCACCACGCCGGATTTATCCACCACTTCCTGGATCAGCTTGCCGTTCTTTCCGATCACTTTTCCTGCAGAGGGTTCGAATCCGGTCAGTGGTGAGAGAAAACAGAACTGAAGAGTTACAGCGCACAATCTCGTTACGCTCACCGACTAAGTTTCGGGGAACTTTGATGATATCTTCGGAAAACTCCAGGTAGCTCCTAGCTATTCGGACGGCATCCTGGTCCTGGGAAAAGCACACCAATCAAAAGGTTGTTACCGTCTTCTTCATCACGTTACTACGTGATGAAGAACTGCCTCGGTGTGGCAGTTGATCTGGATGCCCTCCTACCTCCCCATATATGTGGAAGGTGCACGTCTCTTCGTCCAGGTCGATGTTGGTGACTCCGGGGACTTTTCGCGCCTGCTGAATGTTGGCCCCGTGAGTCCCAATGGCCAGACCCATCAGGTCGTCCCGAACTGCAAACTGCTCATGAAACCGAGACGCCAGCTGTCTGGAACTCTGACATAAACAAAAATACATAAATAATTTGATTGGTTTGCCGTTTATGGGAAATATCCACAACCTTTTACGTACTTTGCAGATCTAAATAAAACAAGTTTAATTTAGCTGGACTGATGACTTAAAAACTCATCCAATTTCAAAGGATTGCAATTTCTAAAATCTTAAAAACAAACAGATGATGTGCTTGTAACCAGAGTGAAGCCATCTCAAAGGGTGTGAAGAGTTTTGCAAGCGTACCTCCAGCTGCCTGCTGGCCTCCTCGTTCCGCATCATGAGCGACAGTTTGGTGCGGAGGCTCCTGAAGTGCATGTCGCTCATCATGTTGGCCCGCTTTGTCGTGACCTCATTCACCGACTGCAACAGGAGGTAAAGCCGGATTTTACCCACATCCACAACACAAGCAGACGACTATGAATGTTAAAATCGTCTGACGAACCAAGATGACCAGCTGCTTTTTCTCAGAGTCGTAGGTGATGCTGAACGCGCCGACGGCCTTCTTGAAGTCTTTGTGCGCCGACTCCTTGGAGCACCTGGAAACGCGACGTGCGAAATGAGTCGTTACGTTGTATTTTTTTTTGTGTTTATAGAAATGAAACGGCCGGTGTGGGTTATGAATGAGACTTGCATCTGTCGCAGGTCTTCAGGAACTTCCAGCCTGATCTTGATGAAGGTGTTTTTGGTGGCTGGCTTGTTCGGGTTGACCGGCCGTAACCGCTCCAGCGTCACGATCTCGTTCAGCGTGGCGTCGCACGCCGCGTACTCGATCACGTAAAACTGAAAACAGGAAAAGGTGAGGGTCAAGGGTTCCTAAAGGAACATTTACAGCAGACAATCAACGTTTTTTACCAAACTAAAATTTATTCTAAAGATTGAATAAAGATACGTGGACCCGGCCGTACCTCTCCTTTGACCATGCGAACCTTGGCCAGCCACCATCCACACGGCTCCTTGTCATTCGCTCTGGAGTACACCTGACAAACACACACAACTCATTTCTCAATAACCTTTGCGTTGATTCTCAATAACTTGCATTTTAACTCCATTCTTTGTGTTTAAGTTTGATCAATTCTTGAAGAGAAAACCCAACTAGTCCCACCTCAACTTCGTCGCTCTCGTTTATCTCTTTGCTGAAGCCTGTCGGAGGAGGGAAGCGAACGTCCTGGAATGGGATCTGACGCTCCGGCTGCCAACTGAGACAAGCAGACGGTAAAAACAGACTTCATAACTCTGGCCTAAGATGGAAACACAGCCATTATGTTTGCCTTTTATTACATTACTCACTTGTTTTCAAATGCCACAGTGACTGATCCCTCGTGGACGTCCTTCACAAAAGCCTGAGAGAAGCACAAAAAAAAAAAAAAAAACATTTTACCACCATGCATTGTTCAGGTACAAAAAACAAATAAAAATAGAAAAATAAACAAGCATCTGCCACTAATGCAATTGATTTATTAAAAAGAGGATTATTCAGACTTTTTAATCTGACTTTTTCCATAAAATTCAGACTAGTCTCAGGTTTGATACTTTTTTTGCAGTTCTGACATTTTTTGCAGAATTTTTACTTTCTTTGTAAAATTCTGGGTTTTTCACAAAAATGTTGACTTTAATTCTCATTAAAGAATTATTTTCTTTTTTTCAGTGGCTCTAATCCTCTTCCACAGATTCCATAAGACATTTGACTCCAGTTCGACTGTATCTCGCCACAATCTGCATTCATGCGCATAAAAGATTGCAAATAGGACACGTCCTGCCTGTAAGGAAACGACTAATTCAAAGACTCAGAGTGTTGCCTGAGGAGTAGCACCGGGCTTAAAGGCTTGCCGTCAGCAACGGATGAAATCAAGCAGAAACAGAAGCTTCCCATAAACCTCTGAAATAGTCAGAGAAAGCTTTCTTAAAACCTCCCTGAGTTGTAGAAGTCAACAAAATTACAGGAGGGACAATAATCCAAATAAAAACTAACAAATGTTCATAGTGAAGTGTTGGCGTTTTTCTGCTGCCATCATTAGCGTGCATTCGCACTAGAGTTGTTTAGTCCACTTTAATCAAACTCTAGTTCATTTGCCTACAAAATCCAGTTCTTTAGTGGGGGTGTGGATGCATAATCGAACTCTGATGTGGACCAACAAACTGAAAAACCTAGGTCTTGATTCAGTTGAAGGGACTCTGGTGCGGTTCATCAAATGCAATCACCAAGCACATCAAAGACCGCTCCAAAAGCAGGAAGTGGACAATAGTGCAACCAATACAAACGAACCAGTCTAACGGTAATAGGAGAAATGACCAAACACAAAAGAAAAATCAAACAGCCGCTAAGATCTGATGTTTCTCCATTTTTGTTTAGATTTCATGAAGAAGAAAGTTGCTTTCGGTGCCTTCTTCAGAGGTTTTGTGCCGTTTCCTTCACTGTTTCCTTGTGCAGCACCACCGCAGGCAAGGAGGGGAACTGATTTTCCAAAGGCTTTAGTTTGTTTGACAAAGTGCAGTATGAAAGACAATCGCGTAAACTGAAAATGTAACAAATGTTGCAGTTTCGGTCCCCAACTGAACAGTCAACCAGACTATCAAGTCTGAAAACACACCAAGAACAAGATTTATATTACGTTAACTCTCTCACACACACCAAACATTTAAATCACCCTTAACCGTAAAAAAAAACGTGGGGGTTCACAGCAGTACACTTGTAACTTTAAAAGACCACCAGAGATGTTCCTAAATAGGCTACATAAACAAGTAGACACACACTGAACATTTGTCTAATGTTTTTAATCAAGCTCCCATTGTAAGTCAACATCTGTCACAAAAGCATTTTAAATTTACTCTACAAAAGAAACTGAAATATCTGCCCAATTCTTACTCCTGTTTTTCCGTCACTTAGAAGATTCCTGATTCATACAAACTGAGGGGTTTTTTTTTAGCTTTTGACAACATTCTGAACATTTAGGTTTTAGTACTGTATGCTTCCCACAGGTCACACCAAAAATACTGAAGTTAGCTTCTGATCTGGGAGTGTCAGAAAGAGTTATTTCACAGATTTTGACATCCAAACCAATTTGGGTAAACTTCACTTCAAAATCTATCGTTACTTCTCAGGCAACATACATGATGAGAAGCAAAGTTGCTATTATTTATCATTAAACTGGACTTTAGGGCAACGTCGTCAGCCTGTGATAAGGCAACCTACTAACATGGCTGCCAGTTGACATGATGAACTCCTTCGACTTGTCAGATCTAGTTTGGATGGATGCAGATCATCTGCTTTTGTACAAGAATCTGCTTTTTAGGACAAGAATCTCCCTTCCCAAATTTACACTTTATACGTTAGATCCGGTTGCAATGCCGAAACAAAATATAAGATGGACATTTTGTTCAGTAACATTACTTCGGTGGAATACAGCATGTTTACTGATTTACAGCAGCTAACTTTTATGAAATGTAACACATCCTGGATCACACACTGATTCAGTCCATTTACAGCCAGTCCATTTACAATCAACTTTAACCAGTCTCTTATAAATAAATAAATATATTTTTTATTACTCTGGGTATTTCTTTTTTTTGTCAAGGGCTTAATAACAGCAAAGTAAATAACAATAACAAGAAGAAGTCAAATTTAGTTAAAAAATATGACTTTAGCAGCCTCAAGTAAGGTTTTTTTTTATTGTGTGGAGCATTTATTTATGAGATACCCAAATACAAAATGACCAACACTGTTGCAGTGTGGAAAATCTCTTGACAAATTTAAATATGCTTGTTTTATCATATTGCAGAATATAGAGTGCTAACCTGATTTTAATCGTTTACTTGATTTATACCGTCAAATAAAACCTTGAAGCTCAAAAGATACACCAACGTCATACATACTTGAAAAAGCAATTAAATCAAACTCGATCGATTTCAAGACTCCATTTATTAGTATCAGCATCATCTGATTTGTCCATTCTCCCACCAGGCAGCCATTGCTACAATTTGCTGCTCGTTTATTGCTCTTCTTGGCTGAAACATCAATGTTAAGTTGACTTGTGAGCATCTGCAGGCAGCTCACCTCTTCATCACTTATAAACTGAAACAAGCACGTAGCCTGAATTAACCGTCCTGGTTCAGCAGACACCCGGCCGGGATGAGGACGCTAATTCAGCTCGCAGTGCGGAGGGAAACGCAAATAAAACGTAAAAGTTTTTGTCCTCTGGTTTATCATTACACCAACCAACCGATCTAGGTGGAGGCTGGACCCAGACAAGAGGCCCACATCCACCAACAGGCATCGCAGGGCTAGCTGCGCGCTGTTATTTGTTTGTCATTCGTTGTTTATATTTGAACAAACTATGGCAACCGTAGCAAAGCGCGGCGTAATTTATGCAACTTACCTTATAAAAGGCTCCACTTGTCCCTCTCACTTCCACCACAAGCTCCTCCATGACGCAACTTATCACAGCTCGCTAGCTAGCTAGCTAACTACAGTTAGCAACGTTAGCAGCTAGCAAGCTGGCTAGCCCGCTGCTAGCCAAGGTAGAGTTTCCAACCGTGGGCTTCCCTGCTTTGTCAAATGACGCTGCCAGCTGGATGCAAGAAAGGACTAAGGTAACCGTGCGCGACGGTGACGTTGTTCTTCGTTTAGCTCCGTTCGTCGATTCCCTGTCTGCCCGTCGCGGCTTTTCTCAATTCGGAGCGAATAAGCAAATGGGAGGCAGATGGCTGTCCAAGTTAGCCCGTGGAGTTAGCTGGTTTATGTTAATGCTGTGTGATTAGTCGGGAGGCAGCTACTGCTGGCTGGCTGCATCTCTCCATCATGTGACGTCTACCTTTTCTTCCTCGGCTGCCATCCCGAGCTGCTCTCACTAAAACGTGCCTCTTACTGCTGCCCGCGGGTAACAAGGAGGAATACAGCCAATGTGATCCCAAATTAATTCATTTAAAATATTTGTTTACATAAAAAAAATTTTAATGAAAAAAAAAATAAATAAAAATGAGCACATTTTCAGTTTTTTACCACCAGCTTTCTCCTGATGTAATGAAGATGGTATTCCAACATATATTTAATGTAATGGTGTATTTCACCGCTGTAGTTTTCAAAATTTTATACAAACTACCTATGGCGATACTTTGTCTTTTGTGGGACATGGTACCATTTTGTATCGGACATTAGCAAGATCAATAATACGTGGATTACAGTAGAACTGATAAACTGTATCACCGATGTCAATACTGCTGCCGATACTTTTTATTATCTAGGTTTGATATATTATCACATTTCTGGCCTTTGGGTCCCTCGAATCATTTTGTTAAAACCTATAGAATTTAGACAAGGTTTGTAGGTGTCTACAAAATACTTTCAGAACATGACAAACAGAAAGCATAGAAAAACCAAACATGCATTTTTCCCCTAAACAAATAAAGTGCAAAAAATATATAATTCGAGAGCAAATCAAAACAAAATCTTTTCAGAGGTACCATTGAGAAACTCCGATATAAAAATAAAATAAAATTTGAACTTGAAATTAAAACATCGATCTTATCAGTATACGTAGTATCGATATTGTTGATATTCTGGCTCATTGTTCGAATAACAAACCCAAACGATCACAAATATGCTCCAACCATGTTGATTTTTGATTTAAATAAAATGCATATTTTAAAGATTTTCTAAAATATTATTTTTGTTACCTAAGGACATTAGAACAAATTGAAGTGAAAGAAAAAAGCATGTGGCAGGAGAAAAGAATGTGTTGACTATAAAAAAGCTGATTGGATTTGTGTGCACACCTTGCACCTTATTATTCATATTTATCACAGAGTCTTCTTGAGTTCACCCCTGGTAGTGAACAGTGATATTCATTACTAGGGGCGAACTCTGGTAATGTGATATTTTTAACATGTATCTGTTCTCTAGAGAAGAAAATAAAGCAAAAAAAAAACTTTGAAGGAACAGCAGAATTTATTTTTCTTCATGGTTATCCAATATAGGAGTATCTAATTTAGGCTTCCTGAAAACTGAACTTTATTGAGACAATAATAAATCAAAATTCTTATCATATAAAATTTATCACAATAAATAATAAATGATAAATGATACCTGGCCACCCCTACTCTTCACACTGGAGGAGCTCCAAATGGATGGATTGACTTGATAACTTGTGTTTATTTGGACTATCTGAACTCAAAGAAGAAAACCAAATCAAATATTTTCTTCAGTATTTTTATCTGAAGTCATGTTGTGAGATTGTAACACAATTACAGAAGAGGATACATATAAAGAAGAGAAGATGGACGTGATCTCAAAAACATGAAAAGCCACAAGCAGCGACATTGTCTCGTCAGGTTTACTAGCCTGAAAAAAACCCCGACATCTTAAAAGAAGGTGAAGCCACTGTGAAGGCTTTTGTTGAAAGAACAACAGTCCACTGCTATTTTACAGCACTTGCAGAATAACGTCACAGATCTCTGTCGGAAACCAACATGTTAGATGACACCGAGCAATGGCTTCTTTTTTTCAGTCCACACAAGCTACCAATCAGCTTTTGTACAAGCTGTACAAAAGCTCCCATGTGAATGGTTTTTAATATTTCTATTGTGAAATGATTTGAACATCTGTGACAAAGTAGTCAAACCGGGCTGCAAAAAAACCCAAACACATTTGGATTTGAATCCAGGGAAACATTTTGATGAAGGAACACTAAAATGTCCAATGATCTCCATCTTACAATTAACACCTCTTGCTTCTTTATTATTATCTTTTTAATAATTATGGGAAAAAGGTATATAAAAAAGTGCACTTCCCTCTACCCTATGGTACTCAAACAGTCCATGTAGCTTAATAACAGCGTCTTGTTGTCGTTCACATGTATTCTGCAATGTTAATATGATATTATTTACTCTTACGTACAACTTTAGTAGATATATTAGACTACATTTTTCAAAACGTCTTGACATCCATCCACATAAGAGCAAACATGACACATAAATAAAAAAACCCAACATAAATCAACTGCACTTACTTGTAAAACTAGCTAGAAAAGCGATAAAGAAAGGCAAGTAATCTAATTATGTTACACAATTGTGTATAAAGAACTTAGTCAAATGCATTACAATGGCTGATCTAGAATCTAAAAAGTGTGGAGTACATTCCCCCAAATCTTCCGGCCAGTCTCATCACCAAACGTGATAAAAAATATTATTTTACATGATCCAATCTTCCTACAATCCTTTGCGATTCCCACTGAGGCTTGGCTCCCGGTTGTAACACTGAACGTGTTGAAGCCATGTCTGGTATCATACACCAATCTCATGCGACTCCCTTAGAAGGTTTCTCAAAGCATAAACTTAAACAAATGGAAAAATGTTGAAATGTGGGCAGAGCACTTGATCGCTGGATTTGCACAGTGTTTTCTGAGTTCCAGGTGTAGACTCAGATCCACATCCAATATGGCTACGCACCTTCACAGCAGTCTCTCCTATTCCCTGGGAAACTATTTAATATTGGTTCTGTGCGCTAGTATGAAAGGGTTTTTGGGATTTCAGTGGCAATGAAGATGTTTTTCGGTAATGTTTGGAGGAGGACAGACGTCTTGTTAGGGTGGAGGAGCGGCATGGCTTACTGCTATTGTGACCATGTGTGGACTTGGTGTGCTTTGGAGTCGGGGGTTGGCCAGAAAAGCGTTCGGCTTCTCATAACTTAGAGCTCATCATTTCTAACTTTTTCTGGTACATCCATGATGCAAATCTCCTGTTCCACCAAGCTGGTTTGAGATCTTTCTGACCACTGGAGTACAGAAAAACCACCCTTATGTAAAGGAAACCAGTCATGGCCAATCAGAAGATACTTCGGTTTGGTGCTTAACTAATATTCAGTTGCTACAAAGGGCCCTTGTATGTTCAAAGAAAAATACCCCCACTTCATTACACATCACTAGCAATAGTCTGTTAATAAGCAAGATGAAAATATGCGTCATTGTTGTTTCCAGAAAATTCGTACTCTAGTATCTCAGTTTGAAACTGAGACTCATTGGCCCAGGTGAGGAAGTTCTGATCTGTTATTTTCTGGTTCTGGTGGCTTTTTAGGACAGCCTTAGTTTACTGCGTTTAGCTGACAGGAAAAATGTCACTCTTGATGAATGCACTGATCATTTGATTCAATTCATCTGTCCCTTTAGCGAATAAGCTAAAGATCCCTCCTAAAATGCTCACTAATCTACATCTGGATGTATTGTTAGTGCTTAGTGAAAAGTAGGCCACAGCGATACAATACAAAGAGCCATAAATTTAATTGTCAGAGTGTTTGATGCTCTGTTACACTAAAGACTTTGAAGCTGAGTTATATACATTGTGTTCCTCCGCCTGCAGCCCAGTAAGAAGCTTTCTGAGTCTAAAGCAAACAGTCTTTCTGTGCACAGTAAATAATCAATATGGCTTAGTGGATAACTTCATGCAGTCTGATCCTCCTGGATAGATTCATTTACACTGGGCTTAACTTGTGCTGTGAGGGTGGTCACAGTTTTTTTTTTTTTTTTTTTTTTTCAGTTCTTTCGGACCCTGACGGTGGGATGGTGATGGGGAGACAACACGTTTTCTAGGGAAGCCTTGTGAAAGTATCCAAACCCGGTTTTATATTATGATGACACTTTGACCTAAACCAGTGGTGAAGAACTGGTTTAGTCTGGCAACTTTCAGACGCATCTCTGGTCCAACATACCATCCTTACATCAGTCAGCTTCTAAATCTTGACTGTTGCCCTGATTAACATTCTCCTGGTGTGTTAATATTCAATGACAAATTGTATTTATTAGCAACATGGCTTCTGACTATAACTGATTGCACTTGATTATATTCAGTAGTATCAATGCAAAGGAGATCAAGTGCATATTCAAGACAGGCTTTTTTTTAAGAGTAAATGTTTTTCAAAGCCACATATCATTTTCCTTTCGCTTCACACGTGATAATTGTGTTGGATTATCACATGAAATCTCAGAAAACACGTAAAAGTGGTCGTAGCATGACAAAGTGAGTAAATGTTGAAGGAGGATGAATACTGCTGCGAGGCCACAAAAGAGAACGGAAGAGAGCCAGCTTGGTCCGCCGAAGTCCCGTAAGACTAAGAGTGGATCTTTCTGCATTTGCACACAAAGGGAGAGCCGTCCAGACCTTTTCCTTAGAGGTAAAAACATGGAGGGAATATGTTTGTATCGGGAGCAGAGGAGAAAGAGGACGTTGACTTTCCCTCTGCATGAGAGAGCGCTTGGGTAAGAGGAGCTCTGAAATCAATAGGTGGCTTGCTACAGGGCAACCCATTAAGGGTCTGTTTTTGAAAACCTCGTCAAGGAGGTTCCAGTCAGGCTCACCTTGAGTATTTCCCTCTGTTTTATTTATATTTGCTACGTCTTAGATGTTACAGGGGAGCAAGATCAAATCCTCCAACAAACAAGCCACTGAAACAGGATGTCTGGTAGTTTAGGCATTGCCTCCAGTGCTACCCCTACTCCTCTAAACGGTTTGTGAAGGTTATGGGTCAGGCAGCTTTTTAGTTCTTAAGGCAGTAGAAAAAAGTCTGGGAAGTCCTGTTTCCAATTGGAATAAGAGCTAACATATGATCAACGATAAGAACAAGACAATACAGCATTATTAGGAAAGTCAGTGGAAGAGATTTCACACTATTGTGGTCTAAAAGGCAGCATCGTCACTATATGACACTCCCCAATTCATCGCTTCTGTTCAAGAACAAGAACACCGTCGAAATCTCAGTCCTATCATGTCTTTCTGTCGTCCGCTGAAAGCACATCACTACCAGAGTCAGCATAAACCTTCCCTGTCATCTTAACCAGAAAATTTCCCCTTCACACTCCCATACCCCATTCCTCCTCCCTTATATAAGTTATTCCTCTCATCTCCTCCCTAGAAATGCCTCCCTGTCCTCTTCTTCCTCAACATGGACAGTTAGTCTTTGTTTCTGTCTCCTGTGTGAGTCTCACTCTCCCGTCTTCCCTCTCCACGTCCCTGTAGAGCAGGGACTTCTGGGCCTTCAGGCGGCAGGCCAGCGACATGAAGATGGAGTCGACGTTCTGACTCTCCTTTGGGTCCTTCGCCGATGTCTCGAACAGCAGCATGTTGTGGGAGTCTGCGAACTTCAATGCCATGTTAGAGGGAACCTGTGGAAAATGGCGACGTTCAGGGAAAGCTTGGCACTGAAGTGCGACTGAAAACAAATGTGTCAACATTTCCTTCTTCTAGCCAACCTGGATTTGATCCACAAGGTCGCATTTATTTCCCACCAGAACTCGAGGCACTGATGCCGACACCCGATGGCCATTGCACTCCTGCAACAAATTAAGACACAAGAATCAGATTTGGATTCAGCTGAATCGGCCAGGTTTGTGCGCACGTGTCAGCAAATTGGTGAAACTGAAAAACTCACATTGACTAACTATTTTCTTTTTGATTATTTGATGGAATATCAAAAAAGGGGAGTAAAGCTCCATCAGAAAATTAAGAAATTTTAAGATCAAACTCAGAAATTTCATATAAAAAACAAGGACATTTCTGAGTTTGGAAAGTCAAATATTTGCTAGAAAAACAAAAATTCTGAGATTAATCTCAACTTGGAAATTTCAGACTTTTAAAAGTTGAAAATGTATAATTTTTGAAACTCAGGAATGTTCCAGTTTTTCCAGAAATGTACTCCTCTTGTTTTTTGTCTATCTGAATGTCATCATAGGTTTACATCTAATTTTACTCTGGAGTCAATATCAGGGAAGTCATGGCCAAAGTAGTGAGAGAAAAATCGCCCAGAATATGGAGTCATTTTACAATAACCATAAACCTCGAATGAAAAACACTAGCAGACCTTCATACAAAAGACTAATAGGAAATTGTTGGTTTTTCAGCTTCTGCTTACCTCTATCCATGTCTGTAGGTTGCGGAAGGAAGCCATTTTGGTTACATCATAAACAAACACCACTGCATGGACGTTGCGGTAATAGTGTTCCACCATGGATTTGCGAAAACGCTCCTGACCTGCTGTGTCCCACACCTGCACCTGTAGAGACAGACAGACAATATTTTCTTCATTAATGCATGTGACCCTTCTTTTCTCATTTTTATTTTGATAGATGAGGTTGTATCAGAACCAAACAAGAACAAAATTCACACTCGCAGGTTTTATTGCAACCTTTCAACTATTCACCAAACAATACCTAGCTTCGCTAGTTAGTTGTGTCTACAGCTGTCTTAGAAAGAAAGTACATCCTCCTCCAGTTTCAGGGTTTCATCAGGACATAATATGAGTGTTCAAGTCCCTAAGGTTATTTAAGTCTAACCTCCAATGTATAAAATGCACAAAATACTTCCAATATTTGTTATGACAGAGCTTTATGGCCACACTAAGACAATAAAATAATTACAAAAATAAAATCAGAATGTTATGAGGGTAATTACTGGAAATAACAGGAGAATAAAGTTATAACATGATGACTTTATCTGGCAATAATAGGACTTTATTGTCTGAATATTATGATTTTATTATTGAAATAATATGACCTTATTCTCATATTTTTACAAATTCTTGTTTTTTTTTTTTGACTTTATGGCTTTTGTTTTTTTGTAACACGGCCCTAAAACTCTGTCGTACGTTGCTTATGAAACAATTAGAGCTAAATTAGAAATGTTTTCAGGCAAAATATTAACCTGAACTTGTATTTCAGTACCTTCTTGTTTCAATATCTTGAAACAATCTCCATTCAAGTCTTTCACTCCTCTATGGAGGAATTTTGAGCCTCTAGTATTTCTCATGTTGCTTCATTTCTTTAAGGTTTTCAGACGTCTGTTTCTGCATAGGTCCTGTCACACCATGTCAAACAGTTTGTGTTTGAGACCATTATTCTGTTGACGACGCAGTTCGTGGATAATGTTGATGTAATGCATCAACATTACAACTCGAGGCATTTACCAGCTTTAGGAGAGTGCTGTTCTCCAGCTCAATGGAATTATCTGCGTGATCATTAATGCAAATTACAGTCAGTATTTGTCGTGGATTTCATTACATCTGACTGATCTGTTGCCGAGTCTGTGCTTGGTAGCTGCGATGACAGAATGAGAGGGAGAGGACGAGATGGTAAAACAAAAACACGATTCTTCACACTAGTGCCGCAAATATACATGCAGAGAATAATATTGCATTTATTGCGAGGCGGTTTGATTACATTGGATTGATTCTGACACACACTAGCCTTAAAGTGGAAGACGTTTGTACAGGAGATCCAGTGGTTTAGACATGCAGGCCTCAGGGGTAATGTGGACAGCATTTAGTGTGTGTTTTTGACTCAGCATTGTGTGTGTGTGTGGGGGGGGGTGGGGGGGGGGGGGGGGGCTGTCTCTGTGTGTGTGTGTGTGTGTTTGTGTGTGTGTGGGTGTATGTGTGTGTGTGTGTGTGTGCGTGCGCCATCAGGGATCTAAAGTTGCAGGCATTTTGTTCCTTATAGACACAGATCAACCATTAAAATAAGGCTGGGCACTCATAATCACAAACTTCAATGTAATGTAGAGATCTTGGGTGACAGATCAACTTATATTCTAACTTATATAGCTGTGATAAAAATGGGTTTTTGTTTTGTTACTTTTACCCCCCAAAGAAAAATCAAAAAAGTGAGCTGTGCTTTTGTAATTAGCTCCGCTGATTCAATACTTGTGCAATTACACTCTGGGCATCTCAGTTACTTTGCAGTGTTCAAGTCCTGCCGTTTATTCTCAATTAAGTTTAGACATGGAACATTTTAACACGTATGGTTTGATCTAGGCCAGAGGTGTCAAAACAAAAATAATTAATACAACTAAAATCACCAAAAATGTTGTGATTTTCTTTTTTACCTACTCAACAATAAGCATGAATTATTTTAATTAAACAATCAGATTTTTTTAATAGGAAGAAATCAGATTTTTTTTTGGACGATTACTAATTCATTCAAATCTCCTCTCTGTTTTCGTTTCAGTTTAAGAATATTCTACACGTCTATATTAGCCATATAATGTCTTGATTTGTTTTCAATAACAAAGGGTGACAAACCTTTCAAGACACTGAATTTCTGCGTCCATTTCTTAAATACTGTATAAAATACATGGCAAAAAGTGGGTATGCGCTATATGCGAGGAGCGCTGCGCTAGGGGGCGCCAAATCAAGGGCAGAAAAATTATTCTGCACTGAGGCACGATTTGTTTGAGGGAGAGAAAAGAGGAGGACATTTTCTTTGAAGAATATTCAATAAAAATTACATTTGAAACTTTGAGAATAAACTAGAAAAAGCTTGGAAATTTCGGGGTTAGAAAAACCCCCAAATCTTTTACTTTTGAAACTCAAAAAATTTCCAAAACTCAAAAACTTTTGACTTCTGAAACTCGGATGTTTAAAAAAAAAATTCTGACAATAGTCTGAGAATTTTTATTTGTTCTAGCCTCTTGCAATTTTTTTGACTTTTCCTGTTCAGAAATGTCCTTGTTTTTATTTCTATTTTTATTAACAATCTAACATTAAACTCAGAATTTCAGATTGTCTTTTTTTTTTGTTATTATTTCTCATTTTTTCCTACCTACAATAACCCTAATAGTTATTGTTGTCGACTGATGACAATGGAGAGGCAGGAAAACAGGGATGACAAAAAGCTTTTCAAAGTGGTTGATGAACAGTACACAGCAAAAACTGGAGTGTTAAAATTTCAGGGTTAAACGTGTCAGAGTTAATTTTAACTCAGTAAGTGTATTTTTAACATTTAGCGATTTAAATGATGCCCAGTGTTGGAGTTATTTCGCAGAGTTGATTGCGTTGGTGTTGAATTAACTCTGCTGGGAGATAAATAAGCTCCTCCCCTCTGCTTCAGTTTGATTTCAATCTGAACACGGCTCCATTTTCTTCATCTCCTGTTCTACACGGTAAGTGTCCAACTTACTAAATATTTTGTCCAGCACTATTACATTGACAGAGTGAGTGATTTGACTATTTCTACTAATTACCACATAATGAAAAGCAGCTGAATATGTCCATTTTGCAACAGTTTTACACAACATGTTAGCTGGTAGCTAGTAGCACTTACACCTGATATTATTATAATGGTAATTCTTACAAAACATATTTTGTCGGACCATACACTCGTAAAAAATATACTTCTACGTTTTTGCCGTTTAAAATGATAATTTTGGCCTTGTGAATGTAAGCTAACGACTATTAGCTTCAACGAGCCGAAGTCACGTGACACCAATAGCAGAGTTACAGTGAGGTGAACTCTTGACCTTTACCTTATTTTGCTTTGTCTAGGTTTATCCCATGCTTAAATAAAATGCTGATCCATGTAAAGTTTGGTGACCTGCAAAAGTATGTGAAGTTGGAGGAAGTCGAAGGGCTGTTTGACTTTAATCAGTTTCATGAGAAAGGTTTGTTATTTATTCATCATCTGTGTGGCATGGGCATTATTCTTTCCAATGTATGTCTGTTTAACACATATTTTACACATTTGTGGTAAGTAAAAATTGTATTTTCATTAATATGTTTTATGCTAATCACATGATCAATATCAAGTAACTGTTAGTTTAAAAAAATCCAGCTAATTACAGAATTAGGCTCTAAATCTTGCCTTGTTTTTTCAGTCATTGAACAATTTTGCCTGCCACCTGATACCAAAGTTACATACAAAGATGCAACAGATACTGAAGTTGACGAAGAAATATTCAGTGACCTCCTTAGACAAGGCAATGTGGTACAGACAGTTTTCTGCTATGATGGTGAGATACCAAAGCAAATTAAATCAACAGTTTTACAGATTTTACCAAAGAATGTAACTGATGTCTATTGTCTCTTTCTTCAGAGTTCTCAGAATGGTCATCTGCTTCTGACTCAAGCTTCAACTCAAATGCATCAACATCAACAATACTAATGGATGAGATGCCACGCAAGAAGCAAAAAACTGAGAATCCTGATAACTCAGTGTCTGCTAAAAATGTAACAATATTTTTTGTCTGCCTCTAAATTCTGTTTTGTATGCCCAGACATGTTTTGTCATATTTTGGTCATCTGCATATTGCATATTTCCTTTTTTTTTTTCTTTCTTTTTTTATTGTTCATTTTATAGCTTGTTGAAGGTGTCCTACAAAGCAAGTCTGGTGGTGAAGAATTCTGCAGGAGTATGAAACTACAGAAACCCTAACTGATGCCACAAGAAGACAAATGGTGAACATACTGGTGGCTCACATGATTGATGAACAAGGGTATGTTTTTACACTATTTAATTTATGTATAATAATTGAAAAAAAGGTTTAATCACCAATTTAAAATCTGCTGTTAGGCACCTCCCCACAAAAGCAATCAGAGAGAAGTATGCCTTTGGAATAGTGACAAAGGCATCCCTCAAGGATCCATACACCAAAAAAGGCAATGTAATGTTTTTTTTGTTTGTTTGTTTGTTTTCTACAATCAATCATGCTCTTTTATTTTGTGACTCAAAACTGTAATTTTGCATTTAATTTTTGTTCTTTTTTTTAGGAGCACTTTTATGATGCAGCAAGCAGCACTGGATACATTTCATGGCGTCTTAAAACGGTCCTAAGGAAGATTCAAAGAGGATCTCTTGTGCCATCAAGTAGCACCAATTACATTTCATCTGGAGGCCCAAATATACAGAGAACTGTGATTGTTGAAAAACAGCTTGATGGGAATGCCTGCCAGGAGGCCATATCTCTGCTTAACCACACCACAGACAGGTCCGTGATCTTTCAGAAGATGAGAGAGACTTTTGAGCACCGTCACAAGCTTATTAAAGATGCCAGTGGAAGAAATGATATATCCTGACCACATTCCCGGGGTTCCTGGACACAAAAGGATTGGTAAGTGTTCAACTGAAGTCTTTAAATGTGGATTTTTACATTGTTATAATGGTTTGATTTCTACATGCTATTAAAGATTGATCAAGACTTCCGTCTCCTATTCAGTGAAGAAACCTCATCCAGACTGCTGCAGAAGTGGATGTGTTCTTCAAACCAAATGTCATCAAGGAGGCTAAGCGTTTCACTTCTCCACCTGAGTTGAGAAGTTTGGTGCAGTCAGCGGAAAGTCTTCAAAGCGATGACCTCACTAACACATCTAGTAAGTACCTGGATATATCTGAAGATAGTTGACTATTCAGAGTATTCATAAAGTTCTGATATTATAGCTGAAAACTTTTATAAATTTGTCCTCAGGCTATGACCAAGAAATGGCCTCGCTGTTACTTCTCTTACATCTTCTTCCACCGCAACCAGGAGGACAGAAGTCTCCAAAAATCAGTGCAAGTGATGCAGATGAGAGACTTGTTGTCATTCATAAGGTAATTGAAATTTAAAATATGCAAAATTATTTGTCTATTTCCTTTTATAGACATGCATAAATACAGATGTTTGAATGACAGCTTTGAAGATGTCTGGGCATACTTAAATTTATTTTTATGTCACGTATCGTAAAGCTGTATGTTTTGTTTCTAATGTTTGGTGTATATCTTTTTAATTTTAGTCATGCTGCAGTTTAGAGGAGCATCTTCGGGGACAATGGGGTCTGCAGCCATACCTCCTTGCTGTTGGGCGTCAGAAAAGCAAGATTGACAGCTTCTACATCGTCATGGATAAGTGCCTCATCCCATGCCAGACAAACAGTTCTCTTGGAACATTTGATGAGCTATTCAAAGCACATTTGTGTTTAATTTCTCTTATGATGCTGCATTGATGAATTTCTACACATTTCTGCAGACAACAGTGTATAACATTGACGTGGGCAAAATGAAGGAATCGCCCAGAGTTAGGGACGTGAGAGCAAGGCTGCTAAACCAGTCCGTTGAGCTCTCTTGTGAGTAAGTCAGGCTAAAAAATGTTGACCTGTTTTTATGTGTCAAAAACTGTATCCAAGCGGACACATTTGATCATCATCATGCTTTCAAAATTGTTCAAAGTGAAGAAAGGCATTTAGTAAAAATCCCTGAACTTAAATTTCTTTTGATATTCAAAACTCTTATGGCATTTCTAATGAATGTGTGATCATTGTACCACAATTTAAAATGTTGGGAACACAGCTGCAAAAATAAAGTGTTCAAAATGTATGTACTTGTGTCAAGTTTTTTTTCTTAATAATTATTATAATTAATCAAATCATAAAGTAACTTTTTTGGAATGAATAACACTTGAAAGTGTTAAATCAACACTAATAAAGTGGTAATTTTTGTTCCTGGATCAGTGTTATCCAGTATATCCCACAGTGTTGAATTAACCCTGTTTTGTGAGTTAAATAAGTAACTCTGATAAAGTGTTAAAATTTTAACTATATTGAAAGTGTTAATTTAACTCTTGATGAGAGTGGACTATATAAGCACTGAAAAAGTGTTAAAATCAACTCTGTGGGAGTTAAATTAACACTGGACTTTTTGCTGTGTAGGTCAGGTAATTCAGTCTATCCAGAGGAGGCTTCCAAACATCCAGGTATTGTCGTAAAATGACAGCTCACTGTTGTTTTGCAGTGTGTGCAGCAGTTACAGGTGCCTCAGACAGTAGGTACATATCAGCGCCCCTGCCTGTACATAATCAATAAAGCAGAGGAGGAGAGCTGCGCTTTCACAGCTTGGCTATTAATAAGAGAGCAGGCCCGAGGCATCAGCCCGGGGACGGGGAGGGGACGTGGAGGGGGGTCCACGTCCCGCCCCGCCGCTGCCTTTACCTTGATGGTCTCCCCTTCGATCTCCACCGCCTTCTCCCTGAAGTCCACGCCGATCGTGGCCTCGGTCTTGTCGGGGAAGCTGCCCCCCGTGAAGCGGAAGGTGAGGCACGTCTTCCCCACGTTGGAGTCCCCGATGACGATGATCTTGAAGATCCGCGTCTGGATGCTCGTGTCCAGGGAGGAGGCGCTCAGGTCCACGGAGGAGGTGAGGCTGGGGGCCGCGTCGCTGCTGCTGCTGGCTCGACTCCGGCCGGCTGTGTAGAAATCCATGGAGGATGTCAGGATGGTGACATTGTCGTCCGCCCGGTTTCTCCTGGATGCTCCTCTCCCCGCGCCGACTCCTCCTCCTCCGATGCCGCCGCCGCCCGGAGCTCGGTTCTCCTCCTCCGGGGAATCCTTGGTCATTATTGCCGGAGGAGGCGATGCGCCAGTCGGGGTGCGTGAGTGGAGAAGAAGTGGGGGGTTGGACGGATAGAGACGAGAGAGAAGGGAGGAGAAAGGGAGGAGGAGGAGACCAGAGATGCAACAATGACCACGATGCTGTCTGTCAGCAAGCGACGGAAGCCTTAAAGGGAGAAGAATCATTATCAGTTTAACAAAACAATGCCTGCTTTAAGGCTGAGACGCAACAGCATGAATGCATTTCTCATTTTTGCGAAGTGATTTATCTGAATCATTTTTTTCCCCCACTCTGGACTCCATCTTAAAAAGATAAGAATTGGTTGTAGATGTTTGAACTTCATAATTCCCTAGTATCGATACGAGGTTGGTGTCAGTATCGCATTATTGCCAGCGTGATAAGATCGATACTTTTAGTTTCACACTACCTCTTGACAATTTTGTTTTGTTTCTATATTGTAGTTTAGAAATTCTGCCTCAGAACAGATTTTGGTTAAGATTTTCTATCCAGTGATAATTTTCTGCGCTCTGTTTGCTTAGAGAAAAAGAAAATGCACACAAATGTGTTTTGCGACTGGGATAGTGTTCCAACAACTTAATGTTCTCTTTCTTCTTGTCATAACTTTTTGCTATTTTTAATACTCCTATCCAAGTGCTGCTTTTTCAGTGCATCTGCTTAAACCCCCAGTAGCTCATGGTAGACGGCTGCTTCAGTGGGAAGTTTCTTTCAGGTTAGAGGAAGTCTTTGCTCTCCATCGTCGCTACCTACTCACTTGCAATGAGGCTTTGCTGCAAAGTTGAAGACAAACGAAAAGTGGACATAAATTGAACTTGGAAATGGTTTTGAGACATAATAGAATTTCACTTTCTGATGGATTTTCCCAAAATAAAAAGGATTTCCACAAATATCCAAATTTGTCTAATAGACCTTTAATACTGCTAGAATGTGGTGTGTTATTTCACTAGATAAATGTGTTACTAATTTTACTGAGAGATCAACATTGTCTTCACTGTAGTCTTTTTTTTTTTTTTTTTTGGAAACCGCAGCCAGACTGTTCTTGTGTTTAGCAAAGAACTAAAGAGGAAAAAAACAAAAATGTTTCACTTACCTTTTTCAGTTGTACCTCACAAAGCAGCGGCAGAGTGTTTGAGCTTTCATTTGAACTCAGTCCTGCAGTAGCATCGCCTGCCCGCCTGCCTCTATTGACACGGCACAGCTGTCTGCCGACAGCAGACTGAAATGTGGACGGAATGACAAAACACTTGTCCCGATTTCTTCCTCTCACAAGCACAATCACAGGCGTGCCGCTCGATCTCTTCCTCTCAGAGACACCCACATAATCTCTTTCTCATACAGACACACAGCGAGCACACACTGGCAGCGTTTAGCAATCTCAAGGCTTCTGTCTCACAAAGCTCTCCTTCATCCTCGGTAAAAGGCCCGCTTGTCTCGGAAAGATGCTCAGTGGGACATTCACGTCCCGCAGAACACAAACCAGCAGCGAGAGACAGAAATGATTGGCATAATATGTAGATATTTTGATGCACAAGTCACACGCACTCCCCGATGTTATATTTTCAAATCTCTCGGCGCTGATTTTCCGTCGTTCGACGCAAACAGCGATGTGAAAGTTCATTTGTACCCTACAGATTTTTGTCTGGTTTATTGTTTTCGTCACTCTCGACAAAAAACTTCTTTTTTTTTTTTCCATTTTTCAAGTTGCAAACACACAGGCTGTTTGTTCTGCTTTAGACAGACCAGAGTTTATTTTTCTCAGACAGTTTGCTTTGTTTAGGCCCGTCATTTCTGGACTGCCTGCAACATGCTGGAGACCTTCCTGTGATAGAGCCCCAGTTGAACAGCTGCTGTAATTGCATAGAGGCAGTTCTTCTTCTTTCAGGGTTTCCCCCACAAAACCTGCTAAGCTCTGCGGCTAGGGCAGTCAATCAGCGGCCCGTCGTGTTTTTGTGTCAAAAAATGTTAGAAGTTACAAAAATTCAGAGGTGCAGGCGTCACAGTTTGTGTGAGGCCCAGTTCAATATACCAGCTATAGAACTAGCTTAATCTGTCTTTACTATCACTTTTATAAAATCCCTATTTAAATTAAATATATGACAGTTAGCCTGGTGGCCCGCCAGGCTTATAATACTCTGGGGGAAACCCTGGTTTTTGAAAATGTGTTGTTAAAATGAACCAAACTAAATGACAAATGTTTTTGGCCCAACTGACTAATCAGTGTTAAAATGCCCCTATAGGTGACCTGGTGACCTTCTCCTGACCGGTTAACAGAAGTAACTTTCTCAACGACTCTTACATTTCTTCAGATCAGAGCATGAGGTGTTGCTTTTTCAGTTTTTCATAGAATATTTCATAAAGCCTCGCTAACTGCAGAAAGTGAGGACTGAGGCGATCGATAAAAACATCTACACCTGTTTATTTTGTTCACTCATAAATTATGCAAACATGTTTTCATGTTGTGATAATGTGCCTGTAATGCCAGAAATGTGAGCAAATAGACGCGATAATTATACTTGCAGTTCATTATCCAATGTACATGTTTCAATGTAGAGCACGATCTGAGAACAATTACATCTTCATATGGAAAATACCCCAAAATTTCCCAACATGTGGCACTTATCACCATGCTCTTCTTTGCTAAGGATACAAGTTCAGTGAATCCCTGGTATTGTGGAGTTAGAGACCACAGCCACCCAAAATAGCTGAAGTTCATAAATACTTTAGACCTTCTCTAAAAATGCTTTAACTGCCCATTTTAATAGTTCAGATATACCTTAATATGCAATAATACACACAATATAAACTATCTGAGCCCAACTGCACAAGCTAACATCCATGGTCTCCCTTATTTCTGCTCTTGGGGGCCCAGCCAATTAGCATTAAGGAAAAGGAACGGTGCATCTGGATTGGCTATTTTGTAAACACTGGCCAATAACATGTCAAGTAGCACGTCGCTGAGGTATTCAGCCTCCGAAGCTGCATGTCTTTTTAGGTTATTTTTTGATATATTCAACTCAAAAATTTCCAAATATAGCAAATTTTCCACAAATGATTTTGTTCCAATCCACAGAAAAAAAATTGCAAATAAGTGTGTGTCCAGTTTATATTTGATGTTGACCCATTCAGGATGACATTTTGTGAGGAACTGTACTGTTTCATAAAACGCTAAATTCCTTAAAGATTTTAAGACATGGATATAGACACAGTTGAAAACACTGTAAATTATATTTCTGCCATAACAGAGATAGCTATGTCTAGATATAAGCACCAGATTACATCCAGCCATATTAAGCGCCTAGAATATTCAAACACACAAGATCAACAACAATGCCACATGAGACTTTTGGAATGCCTATAAGGGTGGAAGGTCAAGAAATCAAAGCTTCCTGTAGAAAAATATTCTTCATAAAAATATATTTCAGTGTGAATCTGCAGAGTTGAACAAAACTTGAAATGCAAAACAAGTACTGTAGATACAAAACAATCTTATCTATGATATCTCAAGCTTCAAAGCTACAGGTCAAGCTGCTTTACATCTGCTGGCAAGATGTTCTTGCCAGCAGAACATCTTGATCATGATTAGTCAGCCCTCAACAAAGAATTTTCACTCTTTGTTATGAGTGAAAATTGAGAGTCGTTTGGTCCCTCAAATGACTTGCAGGTATGTTGATTTGAAATCTGTCCCAAGGGCATTTTTAGCATTGCATTTGTAAATTCCAGAGTTTGTCAGCACAGGATTCTGTATGACCAGACTGCCCCCATCTGTCATCTGAACCCCTCCCTGCACTGTGTAGTGGTTGTGAGGTAACAGCGTGGTGCGCCCAGGTAACGTCCACGAAATATCTGGCTTTGGAATGCCTGCCGCCGCACACCGTAGCACGACTGGGGTTCCTCGAAACACTCTTGTGATGGAGGCCATTGTGCTTGTGATCCGGGGAGGGAAAACCATCACGATAACGGGGTAAGACAGAGATGAGGATCCAAAAGAGTTTGAGGCTCTACAGATATATGTTCCCTTATCAAAGGGGGCAATCTGCCTCACATGTAGGGTTCCATTGGTGAGGAAAGATATTCGACCAATGTTCTGTGGTTTATCCAAAACCACTCCATTGGGTAGGGTCCATGTAATCAGTGCCTGTGGCCAGCTATCAACAGTGCAAGGTAGGTTCAGGCTGAGTCCATAAGTGATCTTCATTCCACCTGATTGGATAAAATCATAAGCATTAGATTAGAAATTGACAAAGACAACAAACAAAACTAGGTTAAGTCACAGCCCATAGGCTTAACCTTGGTGGAGCAAATTTTGAGCATATTTTGTATTGCTGTTGTGACTCCAAATTGTAGCTAATTTCTGGAGCAAATGCAAAGCATACTCTAAAAGAGGGGTCTTCAACTCAAGTCCTCAAGAGTGACTCTCCTGCAACCTTTAGAGGCATCCCTGTTACAACAAACCCGAATCAAAGGTTGAATTACCGCCTCAGGAGCCTTTCATTTTATTCAGATTTATTGGAACAAAGATCTGTCTAAAAGTTGCCAAACTTGGAGCTAAAGACCCATATTTGAGGTAAGCAGCTCAGTTGATGCGATGAACCAACTGAAATTTCAGAAAAGCCTTTTGAATGCAATAATTCAGATTTAAGAGCCCTACCTTTATTTTAGGGATAGAAAGTTATTTTCTTCTGGACATCATAACAAATAAGGACCAGAATAGTGATTATCTATTACAATAATTACGTGTGATGGGTTTGAGAAGCAATAGCCTACCTGTTGTTCCTCTGATCACAGGTTTCCAGCCAGCCTCCAGGGAATAACGTTTCTCTGCTTGTCCTGCTATGTTTCTTGCTAGGCACCGGTAAATTCCTTTATCGCTTGGTGTTGGCTGAGAGATCCACAGAGTCCCATTTCCAAAATGGTGAGTAATACGCTGAAGTCTCCGTCCGGGTGACAACATAGTCCCGTTGGGCAGCACCCACGAAATCTCTGGGACTGGCGTGCCGCGAGCAGGGCACTCCAGAACCAGTTCACCACCATCTTGCTTAATTGGTAAAATCTCAATGTTAGGACTGGCAAAGCTGGGTTTCTCAGCTAGCGACGCCACTTCCATCTCAACTGAAAGGGAGGCTTCACCCAGGTGATTTTTAGCAAAACACTTGTACCTGCCTGCATCCGTCTTCCTAACACCCCTCAGCTCTAAGCTTCCATTCTGGTGCACTTGGAAGCGACCGCCAAGATAGGGTGGTGTTAGCGAGTGGCCATATGGAGTGAGCCACCAGACCTTGGGTTCAGGTTTTCCCTCCACTCTGCAATCCAGAAGTGTTGTTTGGTAGGAAACTGCCAAAAGCTTTGCCGAGGTCTTCCCTCTGACACTGTTGATGTAGGGTTCCTGGAGTTCAGCTTCCACTATCATGTTTTTGATATCATCACCAGCAGAATTTCGTGCCACGCAAGCATATTTGCCTTCATCGGCCAGTGTCACTTTCTTCAAAATTAACGTTCCATCATCTGCAACTCTGTATTTATCTGACAGTGGTGGTATCACATCCGTATGTGGTGAGATCCATGTGATTCTGGGTTTAGGCTCGCCTGTGGCCTGACAGCTCAGTTTGACTGCCTCGCCCAGTTTCACTTTCACCACTGATTGCGATTTTAATCCAATCTGTGGAGCATTTGATGCCAGTTTGACACTGAGCTTTCTTTCATCTTTGCCTAGTTTATTTGTTGCGTGGCAAGTGTAGTCGCCTTCGTCTTTTCTGCCCATCTGCTGAAGAAGTAAAGTTCCATTCCCGTACATCACGTAACGTCGATTGCGAAGGCCGCTGTCATCAGACTGAAGGCCATTGTTAACCAATGTTCCATCTGGAAGACTCCAGGAGACCTCTGGGTTGGGTAGGCCAGTTGCAACACAATCCACCTTGGATCAAAAACAGTGAAAGAAGAAGAAAGGATGGTTCAGATGGTTTATGCGGTGATATAGTAGAATCACAGTCTTGATAAAAAAAAAGAAGAAGAAGCAGAAAGCCAGAATTTTCTGTTGTTCGGTTTACAATGGAAATTATAGAAGCAAAACTGATCTGTGAGATTAGAATGAAAATAATATGTTTAAAATTCTTCTTAATTCTTTAGCAATTACCTGGAAATTCTCTCCGAAAGTCACTCTGGTCTGTGCAGTCCTTACATGTTCAATTCGAGGGGGAGTCATCAGCACTTCTACCTGTTGAGGTAAATACATATTTAATGTTTCAGACAGAAATTGCCATTTTCTAATCACATGTACAGGATTCAGTGGGTAATGACAGTTGCCAAAAACATTGTTTCCACAATTCGTGGCAAGAACTTTGATATCTTGAAAATATTTGTGTTGTAATCTGTACAGTAGAGTTTTATGTTGTTGTAAAATGTAGGGATGTAATGTGGTTTGCACTGGAAGACCATTAAAATGGCTGTGCAAAGTGAGTAATACACCAGCTTTCGTTTACAACCATTGCTCTGATTTTCCGTTGAATGATTTGGGGGGAAAAAATAAAGTGAGTGGCAGTAGAGTGTGTGAAACTGCTTTGCTGATGTCAGAGGTCAAGATGATAGACAACCCACTCATTTAAACCAAAGCATTCAGGACACATTCAACCTTGAAGTCAGCAGAAGACCAAACAAGGAGCAAGAATCAACAGTTCAAACTGCCACCTGTGGTATTAAACTATAGAAAATAATTTCTTGGCACACTTTTGGCCTCTTTTGGCCTCCAGCTGAGCATTATTTAAACGCCACGTACAACGTTAGCGTTGTCCATGTTGTCTGTCACAATGTACCCATCGTTGGATTTCTTCTTCCTACCTGGAACTAGAAAGATGTAGCCTATGTCTGGTGTAATTCCAAAATACACCGGTGAGCTAATTTTGGAATAAATTTTGGAGAATTACAGCTTGTTTGAAAACATGCTTTGTAAGGGTTGATATAATAGAACTGTCAGTGGTCAAGAAAGACATTACTTTTAATTGTGGATGTACAATTTAAATTGATCTTCTAAAGGATAAAGAATGCTAATGAATGAAGGTAACTGAGACAAATGATAGAAAAAGAGACCCACCGGAAAAATGATGCTGCAAACTGAACTTCAAGCTATTATGTTTTCTGGTCTTACCTGGAAAAGCTCCATGTCTTCCCCATTAGGCCTCTGAAAGATGCACTGATAATTTCCACCATCCAGCTCTGTTAGCTGAAGTATCCTGAGGGTCCCATTACGAAACACTTTAACTGGTCTCTCTGGGCTAAAGGCAGAAAAACATGGATTACAATAATGCAGTTCAATGTAGCGGTTGTTCACAAAGTCAAAGGATATTTCAGGTGCCTGTATTGATGCTCCAGGATGATCTTAGAAGGCAGCTGCCAGAACGTCCCTCTTGAGGATCCAGTGGAGTCTGGACAGTGGAGGTAGACTGCAGAACCATACAAAGCTGACACAACATGTTGACGGGATGGAGAACCGTGACTCTGGGTTGGCGGGATGGGAAGAGGAGGAGGAGGAGGACCTTGGCGAAATACAGAGGAGGAATCTTCTCTCACCTCCAGCAGGACTTTTCGCTTGGCAATACCCACTGCGTTGCTGGCCAAACACTCATACCTGTAACGGTAGATGGAAATTTGGTTTGTCAAACTCCGTCACTTTGCATTTGGTTATTAAATATGAAAAAGTTTACAAGCTTGGAATCTTTATCAGAGAGTTTCCAGTGTACTTGAATGCAACTGTCCTTCAATTCTAAGCTAACCTTGTCAAGTTCTAATGCTAGTCCACTCTCAGATTGTCTGCTCTCCAGTTATGGAGTTTATTACATTAGCCACATTTGAGGACATTTCTGAGATGAAAATGGTGTTAACAGTAATGTTAACACCAATATTTTGTCTATAAAGGGAGGAGAGGCAGTTTTCTATTCAATTTTGATTGGACAACATTCAAAACACAATGTTTCATATACATTATTTATAAGACACACGTCACTTAAGCATTTCTGACATTTAGGAATGTCCAATTTTAGGTAAGCATCTAATTCCAATACTGCTGAAAACTGTGATAATTAGTTTTATTCATTAAATTAAGCCAATTTACAGTTCATACCTCCCACCATCAGATGGTATAACATTCTTGATGAACAGTGTCCCGTTTGGGAAGACGAATACTCTGCGTCCCAGAAACTGTGATGCTTTAACATGGACGCCCGATGGAAGTGTCCATTTCAGTGCGGGCACTGGCTCGCCCTTTGCAGAGCAGTGGGCATACATGCTCCTGTCTGGGTAAATGAACTACTGTAAGCCACAAACAAGACAAGTTCTCAACAGGATGTAATTGCAGTAGATTTGCTTGTCATATCTCACCTGGTTGAAGGATCACTGTATCCTGTACTCCTTCGCTGATGCTGGGAGGCAAAGCTGCCACATGGAGTTGATAAGTGACTGTGTCAGCACCAGCTGCATTGCTTGCTATGCATTTGTAGTCTCCTTTGCTGGAGAAGTTGGCTGAGTGAATTCTGAGCGTCCCGTTCAGAAGCAGATTCATTGGAGAAAGGACAGTGTGAATGGTTCCGGGGTCTCGCACAAACGTCCTGTCTGGGAGAATCCAGGAAATTTGGGCAGGTGGTTTCCCAGAAGCCAGGCAGTCGAAAGCCACACTTTTCCCCAAGTAGATTGATAGTTCTGCGGTCTTGGGTGGCCGGATTCTGGGAGCCTCCGTCTGGACTGTTAGGGTGATCACCATACGATCCGATCCAAACCTGTTCTGCGCTGTGCAGAGGTACTGTCCTCGATCCTGAAGTTGCACATTTTTAATGAGGAAAGTTCCATTCCTGAAGACTTCAAAACGTGACCCGTGTTTGGTGTTGGCTGGGATAGTGGCACCTAGTGGCAGAGCAGATAACAAAACAAGATAAAAATTCACCAGTATTATCTTGACTTTACTTTATGTCTCTTTCTTCTTCTTTTCTTCTATTATTTTTCTTTCAGCATTTCACCTGTAGAGACTTTGGTCCAAGCGATGTTAGGTTCAGGGTTCCCGGATGCTTTGCAGGGCAGGAACACATCATCCTCAGCCAGCACTGACACACTTGCTGTACTAACTGTGGTTATACGAGGTTTCATCCCATTAACTCCAAACAACCATGGGAAAGAAGCAGCAGCTGTTGGATTCGGAAGGTTGATTTGTCCTGAAAGGAAATTTGACATAGCAAAACTATAAATGGTGCAAAATAGATTTAGAAATATGCCAGCTCTTTTTAAGACTCACTTCCCTGACCCACCTACCTCCATGCAGAGCAGGAGACACTGGTGGGTTACCAGGAGGAGTTAGGGGGGGCTCCAGGAATGACGAATATGACGGTTTAGCAACCTTTAAGTGCTCATGGGAGTAAAAGTATGAAGCAGTGGCTGCTGGTTGTTTCAAAGTTAAAGGTCTGTGCAGGGACGGAGAGTCTTTTTTAGGTGTGACTGGAGGAGGAGGTTTGTAGCCAATCCGGGGTTTGGGTGTGGCTATCCTTCCAAGCTGAGCAATCCGATCAAGCTGGGCCTGGAAAAAATCAAAACCAGAGCTGGGCATTCTGGCCTACTCTTAATCATATCTACATATATGTCTGTGTTTAGTTGTACCTAAAAGTTTCCATTTTAAAAGATTTTATACAGTATATAATATTTTGTCCTTGAAAATTTCCAAAGTGTTTTTGCTGGTGAATCCAGTTTGTACTAACGACCATTTAAAACTATTCAAAGGGCTGTAAATAGTCCATAAACCACTTTGGACATTTCTTAAGGCCTTTAACAGTATGGTTAGTATATTGAGATATTTTACACACTTCAAATTCACAGTTCAAAATTGTGCAAAAAGTAATTGCATGTGATAATTCTCGTAATGTATAACAAATTGTAGGAATGTCTGTCATTTAGTAAAGACAATATTCACTTGTGATGACGGTCCAAGAAAATAAAAGTTATATTTTGTCATGTTTTAAATGAATAAAGTGAATTGTTGATAAATTGGAGTATAGACATCACCAGGTGTACAATAAGAACCCTAAAATTTCACTGTCCCAATCTAATTCTTAATCTCAAATGTGGCGAATTGTAGGTCATCCAAAAAGTATGTGTTGCATTACCAGAAGCTTAAAAAGTTTGTTTTATAACATAATTGAAACACAAATTCCAATTCCTGAAACAGGGCAATGAGAAATCCTGTTTCACTACATATTTCAGAAACACAGCTCTCCTTTTACCTGTCTGTATCGATTTCTGAGCCTTGAAAGAAACAGATGATCTCTTGTTTGGGTCTTGCTGTCAACATGGTGATTTCGATGATTATGATGATAGAAATTGGGTGGTAAAGATTTGGAAGGGTTTATTCCTGAGACAGTGGGTGTGGGTTTTACTGTGTCGGCTGTTATTTCTGGTCTGTTGGTGATAAACGAGCCATGACTCCACGGGTGAAGGAAAGGCCAGGGTCGATGAGTGGGGTTCAGCCCTATAAACAGACCATGGGTTGTAATTTGAGTTTCTGCTCTCATAACTCTAAGTAAGAAAAATCTACAACAAAGGTTGTTTGAGTAAATAAAAAAAAATACTCAAGTTTCTTTATATCTTATTGTGAGCTGTATTTACCTTGCCTTGGGTGAGGGAATGGCCTTTGACCAGACCATTGATGTTGATGATGGTGTGTAGACCAGCGGGAGGTCGGAGGAACTTTAGGGGGCCAGGAATGCCTGCTGGGATTTACTTGACCATGTCTTCCTGCATTTCTGTCCTGATCTGTGTGTGTAGTCCTGGAACTGCTGGTTTGTCCTCTTTCATGGCTGTTCTGATGCAGCCAAGGATGAAGTGGTTCCATAAATTGTGGGGGGTGGTTTTCAGTCTTTTTAGTTGGTTTTGCTGTCTTTGGCTGTGCAGGCAGGTTCTGATCAGGTGAAGGTCGTGTGATAATTCTTTGTCTGTTATGGGATGTAAACCAAAATTCATCTTGTGAATTGTAGCTCTGAGCAACTATCTCCGGTTTTGATTTTTCCTCATGTCTATCACCTCCCTTTGTAAATTTTTCTTGCGCCTCTGATGTATTCATGTTCTCACTCTCATTTACTCTTGCAAGGATTTTATCATTACTTTCATTGTTGTTGTCAGTTCCTTCTGTTTTTTCTTTCATCCATTCTCTCTCTACCAGGCTTTCCTCAAGGTCCACTACATCTTCAGTTCTC